AGTGGTTGTACATTCTTTCTAAAGGTGTACTTCGCAACACAAGCTGGAACAATGGTGCTTACAGAAATACAGGTGGTGCCTCTGGCTCTTTCTCCTTTGGGGCATTTAAGAGGCATTTGTCTATTTTTATTTTATTTTTTTTAATAAAGAGTTTCTGTGATTTCCCTTCCACCTTTACTTAATTCCTATGTATGATGTACAGTGAAATAATGTGTCTTCAGCCATCAAATAAAAAAGGAACAGTTTATTTACTCCAGTTGTAGCTGTTCTTTTCTGCCTATAAAATAAACTCCAGAGCCCTCCCAGGCAAATTACTCATTTCAAGGACAGTCATTTCAGTGTATAGATGTGCTGTACGTGATTGCTAAGACTCCTTCAGCTCCTCAGTTGCAGAAGCACAGCTGGGAGGCTGTTCTTATGAAAACCTGCCACCCCTGACACCTTTTATACTGTAAAACTGTGAAGGTACAACCAGCAGGTTCTCATGAATAAGCCATGTGAACTACCCACTTCATTTTCTACTCCAGTTTGTGTTGCATTCATAATTTCATATGAAGTCTAGTGCAGCTTGTCTCCTTCTCTGTGAAATTAAAATCAAAGGCTGGTAGCCACTGCCAAGGAGATTCAAAGTCCCAGAAATATGAAAGTTTTATAGTAGAGATTACATACTTTGAAGTAAGATTTGTGGTTGTTCAAAAAACAAATAAAGAATATTTTAACCCCATATGTTTTTGTATGTATGGTTACACGCAGTACCAATAAACAGAACAGCTAGAAGACAGCCCTTAGCCATCCCAAGTTGCCTTCTTTAGATAAACTCAGGTTTTAGAGGATAATGTGCAATGTGGGTATTTTCTCTCTGTTTGAATTAAAATATCGGTGGTTTTGATTTTACCTTCTCTGAAATGTTTCTTTCTCAAAGACAAACAAAACCTTTCAGTTTGCTTAGTCATCCCAGTTTTCAAATGCAAACTTTGGCACACTTGCTTTAAGCCTTAATTTTTTTCCTAGCCCTTAATTGTGTTCAAAAATAACTGACTTGTAAGCCATGTGAGAATATAAAGCAATACCCAAGTCATCTGAGCTATGCATTTTTGCATGTAACAGTAAAGAGAAAGGTACTGGTATAATATATACTCTGAAAGGAATTATTGAATAAACTAATAGATTAGCCTTAACCAAACTGTAGCTGTATTTAAGAGCCATGTCACTGGCACCTCATGTGTTGACAAAAAATGCCTAAATGGAGATCATTTGGAAGGAAAATGTCTGATAAAGCTGCCTACTAAAAAAAAAAGCATATGTTCACATTTATTGGAGACTTTTGAGAAGGAGTTAAATGGAATTAATGCTGATAAGCTCTTAATGTCCCTTGCACAGCCCAGTATTTTAAAGGATAAAATCTAAAAGAAGTTGGATCTTTACAAGGAAGTCTTATCTACATGTGTCTACTGCTCTCTTAGTTCCACAGAAGCAGCACTGGATGAATTTCAGGTGAAAGACAGGAAGAAAACAGGCATAAAGAAATACGCCATCCTTCCCAGGGACTCTGGGCAATCCTTGGAACAGCACCATTTTCCAGCACCTCCAGTTTGGCCAAACTCTCTCATAACCAACATCTCCTACATTAATACTACAATAGATGACTGCAAAGAACTTCCTTCTTAAGAAACAAAGCCAGATAACTGCATACATGGTGATTGGCTTGTTCACACATAAAGGTGTTCTCTAAGGTTTTAGAATTAGGTCAGGTTTCACTGACTTACGACACAGCCCTCAAAAGTACCCATTATGTAGTGTAAACATAAAATGTTTGTGGTAATGACAAACTGTAGTTTCACCAGCAAACTTTTATTTTGATTATAAAGTGTGTAAAACTGTTAAAAACAAAACACCCCCCCCAATAACAGAATAAAAATATTATTTTCCATATGCAATGCATAAACATAATGAACCAAAAGAAGTAAACCCCCCCAATATTTAAATACAAATGTGAAGTGCTTTAAAAAATATAGTCTGAAAAAATGCATAAAATGCCACAATGGAAAAAAATTCACAGAGCAGAGAAAACATTCATATGTAAAAACCAAATGAGAATTATTACAATCAAACAAATTCAACACTGAGGGTCATTTCAATGCAGCATCTATGTGAGTAAGTGAATAGCTTAAGACTGACAGATTTTCTGCCCTCAAGCTGACTCACAAGTTTTAACTTAAAATACAGAACTGAAAAGAAATCCTCGGGCCCATTATAAGTTATTATGGGACATGATTAACCAAGTATTTACAAATGCCAAATCCTGTGAAGGTTACCTGAAGAATGGTAAGCCATACACACACACACAAAAAAGGAGGAATTGAAATTTTAGTAACAGCACGTTCAAGTAAATAAAGATTTGGAAAACAGGATTCTGAATGTAAAAGAAACGTAGCAACAATATGAAAAAAAGTAGCACTAGTTTTCAATAAATATATTTAGAAGGCACAAGCAGAGAGACTGAGAGGTTTCACAATCCGCTGGCAGTGGGCTGCCCATTCTAACCAGATGCTCTTGGAATCTTGGTGGATTCCTGAGTAAATCTTGTTCTCATCCCTTTCTGGTTCAACATCATAAAATGCTGTGAGATGTTGTGAACAAAAGACTACTGAAAAATCACTTTTACCTGTCAGGATTTCTGTCACCTAATTCTGTGTCCTAATTCTGGAGGTTTAATTGCACTGTGATAAATACATACACTTGCCAGGCTTGCAGCCCTGGCACTGAAGGCTCCCCAAGGCTTGCTGCGGTGGCTTTGTGCCTCTCCCTTCTCTTGTTCGCAGTTGCATCCTCCCTCTCATGATTTGACATGGCATGAAAGGCTGTAATTTCTGACAGAGCCAGTAACAGAAAATACATGAAACATTTCCATTTCCACCCAGAATCCTATTTCACATGTAAATGGCCACATAATAATGCAAAAGACAATATGCTAAACACTTAATACATTTCTGTTGAACTGAAACTTAAATGTTGCAAACCAGAAATATAATGGAGAGCAACCAGTTGTCACATTCTGTAATTCATTCAGTGATAGCTGCATATCATTCAGAAATGAAAGAAAACAGTAAAATAAGGCATGTCATTGAAAACCCTTCAAACCTACTGACTGGAGACTGAATGTATTTACAATGAAACAGCAGTAAATAATTAAATGCATTCGAGTTTCTAGAACACCTGACTCAGAGATAAAACTGCTAAAAGACATGTAGACTACATTTTTTTTAGCTACAAACTGAGTTTGGTCTACGCTCTGTGATGTTTGTTAGCAATTAATATTTGAAACCCACATTTCCTTAAGGTATTTTGAAACCTGAGTTTTCCACTTAAAACACCAACCATGGAGAAATCACGGCTAAACTTGTTCTCTGTGGCCTACACTCACGTATATAGAGATGGATTTAAAGATCCATCCAGTACAATCTACTTGTAGTGGACATAAGAAGTTTCAAGGAAAATTTGTATTATTCAGTATAGCCAGAATCTAACAAAAATGTGATTAAAAAATCCCCAAACCAACACTGGTTTGAATTCCAAGATACTTTTCATGTTCTAATATGTCGTGTTAGAGCAGTGGTTCTAGTACATTGGTAAAAGACAAAATTAGGGGCTGGCTTTACGTAGTATATTTGGAGAAACAAGTTTATAAAATGGTTGTTTAGCCCATGGGGTTTTTACAAGACTTTCATATAAACCTTACAGAGAAAGAAGAAAATAACTGAGTGTACACTGACATGAGGAACAGTATTTCACCCGTGTGAAAAAAAAAGCAGCGCCAAAATACTGTGTGCGAATACCCATTAATTTAAAAAATACTTATTTATCAAAGCTGTGCATACCTAACATCTGTCATAATCCACAATCATAAAATATAAAGGAAGGAGGGGTGATACCATTGATCCTATTTCTGTATCACAGTGCTCTTAGCATTGAAACCAAATCCAGTTTAAGACAAAAAAATTGGTTCTTAAAATATCTCACTAAGCTGCACTGCTACTCGATCACACAAAGTGTGCTATTATAATTGTTATTAACCATAGCAGGCTCTCTGCTCCCCTAGAGACAAACATCATTATAGAGGACATAAATGATGCCTGAAAGCAGGGTGTCCCACTCTTGTGTATTCTTCCGTAACACGCATATATACAAAACACAAATAAAATCTAAGCAATGTTACCTGAAAGTAACTACCCAAGAAAGGTGGTGTTTCTGTAAATACCACCATGCAAAACCAAGAGGATTTTAACGGAAAAAAAAAAAAGGTCAGGCTGAAAACCAAATCAGAAACACTTCTGCTTAGAGTCTACAGGCGCTGGGTCATTTCCTGGGCTGCTGAGCGAGTTAAGCCTGGGCTTTAGCCTTCGCACTGAAAAGCCGTGTGGAACTCCATCGTGTGGACAAAAGGAGGTATGCGGCAGCCTCAGGAAAGTTTCCCTCTTAACCAAGTTTATTACCTTCCTCAGGAAAACCGAGTAGTTCTGTGCATAGCTATTTGAAGGAAATCCCAACACTTTCTTGGTCGGTGATAAAGCAACTTGCCATAAAATATAATAGTTTGACCATGAACTGGAACAAAGCTTAGAGAGCCTTTAGGAAAGCTTTAAAACATATTGTCCAAGATACTTCAGTTCAAAGTCCTGTTGTACATAAGCATTCCCAAATCATAAAAAGACCTTATCTACTGAAAAAAACAATCCCCTGCGTTTAGCTCCTTGTGGTACTTACTGCAGCACAGAGTGATCAAAACAGATACAAAACTGATAATGCAAATTGCAAGATAGGTGAGCACCCCTCTGCCCTCCCTGGCTCTTTCTCCAAAGCTAAGACATCATCAACCTGAAACTGCAAAGAAACTTCTGGGGCAAAACCTGAAACCTAGGCAGAAGCATGTTTCAAGCTACATTCCACTTTCAGTTCTAAAGATACAGAGTAGGAACAAGCCAATGTGAAGTTAAACTGGGATTAACTCTGCTCTACCCCAGTGAAGAATATGGCATCTTAAAAAATGTATGGAGATAGCCCCTAGGAAAAAATACCCGTTTTCTCACATGAGAAAATTAAAGTGGGCTTTTAGCAAAATAAAAACACAACAAGATAATTACCAATGTTACCTGCAAACCAACTGAAAGTGTTCAAATACATTTTAAAAAGACCTTTAGATTTGAGCCTATAAAAGGAAAAAGGCATCTGTAAGAAACATAGATGAAAAAATAAAACTTCTTCAAATATAAAAAGTGTTCTACTTTCTGATAAATTCAAGTAAATTAACATACAGCAACTGCATCTGGCAAATACCAGATGCTGGGTTTCTGCTAGCTAAAAGCCCCAAAATATACAGATACACTTAACACGGCTCAGTACTTTATGTACAGCCTTCCAGGACAGGGCTGCTTGGAACCTCTCAGTCACTTGGACACTCTTCACAAGACAGCACCCTTTTGATATTATCACAGAAAACAAGTTTAAAATTAACTTATGAAGTAAAAAAAAAAAAAAAGTTTAGATTTTTACATTATTGGAATTACTAGAGAAGGAAAATGAAATGGATGAAAAAATGTTCACGCAAGATACCTGACCAGCAGTTCATTTAACTGAATGCAAAACAGTATTTGGGGCCTGCCCATCTGCTGGTGTATATACATGGGTATACACTTTGGTGCAAGGCCCCTGGCTTTACTGGCTGGGCTGCCAGACCCGTGGCCTGGACAGCAGTAGGTGCCTCAGGACAGGTAAGAACTCAATTTCAAGCCACCTCACCAGCTCCCAGTGTTAGCACAGATATGGCACTTTGAGGACCAGATTGGCAAATGTGAGCAACACCACAGAGCAAACCATGGGCACAGGAGGTCTGGAACAGGAGTAGCGTGGTCTGAGCTAGGTACAGGCAGGACCGCTTGTTACAAATGCACCTTTGTCCTGGTGGGATGGGTGCCCACCACCTGCAGAGCGGAGGACACACTGGCCTAGAGAAGGGACAGTTACTGCCTCCCAAGGGATGAGCAGGAAAGGTGTGAGGACTGTGGTTCACCCATGGGCTTTGACCTGTCCATCCCCATCCTCCTGAGGAAAAGACAATGCACCCTGACCCCTCCAAGGGGGTCCCCAGCTGCAGGGCATTTTTACAGCTGGCAGATTTCCTCCAGGAGATGGGTTTATGGTAGCTGCAGACTTTCCTTTCTGCTGCCCTTTCCTGTCCCGGAGATTTACTCTTAGCCTTCCTTCTCTGTTTAGTTAAACATCTTTGCTTCTGGCAAGCACCTTCTTCCCTCCAACATGTCAAGTAGGTATGCTTTTCCTCTTTGAAACCCTACCTGAAGGCTTGGCCTGTGCTCCCCAGCTACCTCAGTTAACTCTATCACCTCTTGCACTCATCTTACTCCTTTGGCCTGGGTGCAAATGCTGGGAACTCTGTTCAGAATAAATGACAATGTGTTTCTTTTTTTTTTTTCCTTTCTTTTTTTCAAGACAGCCACCAGTCATTTCTAACTGTTTTTAAGCAAAACCCAGAAGTCAGCCGGATTCATGTCTCACTACAGCTTCTCTGGAACTCAGCACTTCCACTTCGGAAACACTTCCCTGGCAGCACAAGCATGAAGTCACCGAAACCACCTCCCTGCCTGACATGGGAGAGAATGACTGGCTACCCGATGATGGGGCAAGAGCCCTCAGTAGTGCTTGTGTATGAACTTTTGAGGTTTTGGATTATAGGCGTCCATGTTCTCGCAACAGCACCTTCACTTCTTATTGCACTGTATCAACTTCCATAGGACTAATCCTAATAATCAGGAGTGAAACTTTAGACAACCCTCCTCCCTCCTTTTCAGAATCAGCCTCTGCATGATCAATTCTCTCCATCATTTCTTTTGCTTAACCATTTGAGCCCTAAAGGACTTGACTTATGCTTTGTTTTTTTCTTCTTCATGGACATCTGGTCCTGTAGGATTTACTGATGTCTGCAAACTGCACACAATCGTGCTCTCTGTAGCACTTTTCCAAGAGTGTTTTGCATTTTCTCCAACTTTCTCTTGAACTCCAGTAATTTTTTGCAACCAGCTATTAGGACCTGTGAGTTTTGCATCCTACTGTTTCCAGGTTCCTCTCAAGTTTATTTTGGCACATTATTATTGCAGGAGGAAGAGGAAAACCGTGCCACCAGTAAGATTAGAGGCTTGTGAAGTTCCTTCTTTTGACTGTCTCAGTGTGTACCCATAGCCATCTGTTGGGACCGCATCCAGTCAGGAGCGATGCTTCTCAGGGCTACATCTGACAATTTTCCAGTCAATCTGAAGGGATGAGATTAGAGAGATCATAAACATGTCTTTGTTTCCTTCTTTGACATCTAGGAAGTGACTGAAATGATAGGTAGGTGTTGGTGGTGCATGACACAGACCTGGTTCAGAAGGTGCGCTGGAGCCTCTTCAAGGAACATGGACGTTTAGCCTGTACTGAGTTCCCAGTGCTTCAGCTTAGGTCCTGCATTTGCCATGAACATGTATGCTTTGAAACTTCAGAAATGCATTTTTGCACTTAAACTTCACCACCAGCAAGAAAAACAAAGCCATCTTACATACTGAGGCATACATACTCTCTTAAGTTACAATAAAATATCCTTTCTTTGAAGAAAGAAGCTTACAAAAATTATTTAGGCCTATTTTCTCCTCTAAGCAAAATAAATATGAGAAACAAAACACATGGAATGCATGCTGGAAAATATCTGTCATAATTTCATAATTACGACACTACAAATAACATAGAAAAAGGCTCAATTCTGTGCCTTATAAATTATCCATATACCACGCAGTGTCGAGGAGAAAAAAGGTAAAATGCACCAAATATCTCAAAGATTAAATTAACTCATTAAGAGGAGTGAAAAGTGACTGTGAATCCAAGTGTCTAGGGAAGAAGTGTTTATTTCCCACCGGTGCGTGACCGAGTCTGTGATATGTGGTAATAGCAATCTGCTGGATTGCATCTCCCGTTGGGTCCGGCTGGCCCCTGTGGTCCGGGTAAGCCTGGCGTTCCTGGTGGGCCAGGCAGGCCAGTAGCTGGTAAAACAAAGTCAGAATTAGCAGAGTCCTTGCCAGAGCACGTGCAGTGCCCTGCGTTTCATCGCTGCACACCAGCTCATTCGCGACAAGGCAGGTGGGTCTGACTTCACGCCACAACCAAGCATGAAAACCAAGAAAAAAGCCCAGTAGTTCATAAACAACAGCAGCAGAAATAAATCTGGAGACTTGTACCTGCAGGGCCAGGTGGTCCAGGGTTACCGAGCAGTCCAATTCCAGGCTCGCCTCTTTCCCCTTTCTGTCCTCTATAACCTACACAGAATAAAGATATGAAAATAAGAAAATTCTCTTATTATAAACCATGATCTGCCATATATCATGTTGCTAGGAAATTATTAAGACAAATGTCACTGGGAAAAAACATGCTCACTTTTTTTCTGATATTGGTATTTTTTTTTTCCGAGACAACCCTTGTAAGTTCCTTCTGGAAAATATGATCTTTTCTAGCAGTGACCATTACACCCTCTGCCAGAGGACCCTCACTGTGTTCACTAGCCAGAACTTTCCCACAGCTTTTAAGTTACATTCTTGAAGTTCCTTTAATAAAGAACAAAATGTGCATTCTGCTCCAGTGTTACCTGTTTGACAAAATGATGAAAGCACAAACCCAAAGGCCACCTGGGGTCTGACCAGCCCTTCTCTGCTAGCCCACAAACTGAGCAAGACTTTGCCCTTTCCACTCTACATAAATCTTTATGTCTGTGCTTTTTAGAAAGTACACTGATAGTTGTACGCTGAGATATTCCCCTTTACGCAAAAAAAGACCTGCTCCCCCTCCAGTGTTACACAGCTGCCATCACATGGACTGAGCTTTTGCAGACTTGGGGTTCTAGTATTCAAGGCCTACTTTGATCCAAGTAGCTGTGTATTGCTAACAAGGGGTGGTTACTAATTATACTATGAATATTTCAGTCCATTTTCTTCACAGGCCATAGCTTTGTATTTATCTAAACAGCTTTCCTCTTTTTAGATGCTGCAACTCATATCCAATAGCTGCTTCTTTTTCCTTAAACCGTTTGTAAAACATTTTATTAGTTGAAAACACTCTGGCTGCTTTAGAGCAAAACACTGGTGGCTATCACTATAACCTTTTCCTTAAGATTTCAAATTAAGAATACATCTAGAAATGTACCTTTTCTGTTTAGACCATGCCATTTACATAGGACAGGGGATGAAGGTATTTTTAAAGGAACAAGGGTGACACCTGCCACAATCCCTTACTTTAAAAGGGGTTATAAGGAAACCCTCTTTCCTCCCAACACCTCAGATGTTGGCCTGTAAGGTGATATATGTTGAAGGTTAATTTGCCAACTCCTGGTGACATTTGGAATTAAACTTGTTCTGCATCAGGTACCAATATATTTCCAGTGTCATGTATGCCATAAAATAAACTTCCTTTCAGGAAGAGCTGTAACTTAGCTTGAATTAAAAGAGCCACGGCTGAGCAGCCAGCATAGTGGTATCAATCTATCTGATGTCTTCTGAAGAGTAACGGGCACTGGCAGATGGATGGCAAAGGTTATCTTGTACTGCAGTTTGTTGCAACACTGGTACTTCATAGGACAATCCAGAAGGAAACTATTATAAGAGCATGGGTACCAATTCAGGGTTGTTACAACAGCCACAATGCAGTTGGAATGGTACATTGAATATGCAAGTTTTCTGTTAAACACAGTCTCATTATACACTTCGGTAGAAAGTCTTATTTTCTATTGCAATCATTCTAGGTTTAAAACCAGAGCATCAGCTATCTTACCCTTTTCTCAGGACCCCAAGAAGGAAATTAAAGTGAAGCAAAACCACTAGAAAACACATGCAGAATGGCATGCATCACATAATAAAAAGCTCACAGAGAAATGAAATTCAATTAATCATGCATTCTGGTCAGAGTTGTGTTAAGCAGAATTGTACAAGGCATATGTGCACACAAGCTATAAAGACTCAGAAAAGGGAATATGCAGATGTACATGTTCTGTTCAATTGTGAATCTTGATTTTGCTCTTTGATGACCACAGTAGTATTTATAACTACATTAAGTTGGTTTGCTCTAAAAGTCTTGTGTAGCACACAAGCAGTAGTTGCTAATGTCTGAGAAGCCCAATCATACAACCACAGGATCTATTGCATTTACTTTTTATTATATATGTTTCTTAATTTACATTAGATAGTTACAGTACATTTCTCACTACAAACCCAGTTAATTGCAATTTTTAAAAGTAGTGCAGCCACTAATCATTTGTTTTGCTTTTCTTTAGTTATGGGGAAAAGAGAGAAATCACATTCAAGATATATCACATTTACAATCTCCATGATAATCATTACTGTAGGTATCTGAGACATCATAATTGAAGAGAGGCTGAGAGAAGACTGAAAGATTTTGTAAACATCACTGAAATTCAAGACAAAATGGAAAAAACCCACTACAATTGGAAAAGGGCAGCCTGACAATAAAAATACATGATCCAGGGCAGTCTAAACAATTACTGGTTGTATCTGAATATGCATGCAAAGGTGTAGTTTGTAGTTCTGATGACAAGTTTGATACAAATATTCCCAGATATCTTAAACTAAATATAATGTTTTATTTAACAGGGTGTAAGCTAGTAAACAGGCTTATATGTAAACAATCTGAACAATGTAATGTGTAAATCTGGCAGGAAAATATTTGATTTTTAATGAGGTATCTTTTGCTCAGAAATAGGGCCATGGTTATACTTCTGGAGGCTAATATCACCTTCTCTCTGAGCTCTAAGTAACAAACTCATACACAGTCAATGGAAAACATTAATGTACATGTAAAACAGATTTAGATTTTAATTGTTTTTAATGTAAAGGCACATATAAGATATTGTCTATTTTTACTGGTAGAATTACAATTCCAGTAAGAGGTACCTGTTTAATCCAAAAGGTAGCTGTTTTAGCAAGGTCTTTCACTTGGGTTCCAGAAGCTTTGTTGTGATTTTTGCAACCCAAAATTTTTGATATGTAAACATGTACCCAGTGTGGGTAGTACAGTAAATAGAAAAAATATGTAGGAAGTATGTGTTTAAATGGAAAAGCTTTATTTTGCTCACAGGTGAATGGTAACAGCTAAAATACAGATCTCAGTTTGGTGCTTTCTATAAACATCACAGTCAGAAACATCACGACCACAACATCCTCAGCTCTACATGGAAACCATAGAAAGGTTTGGGTTGGAAGGGACCTTAAAGATCATTTAGTTCCAAAACCTCTGCCACGGGACCTCTGCCATGGGAAGGGACACCTTCCACTAGACCAGGTTGCTCAAAGTTCCATCCAGCCCAGCACTTCCAGGGATGGGGCAGCCACAGCTTCTCTGGGCAACCTGTGCCAGTGTCTCACCACCCTCACAGTAAAGAACTTCTAATATCTAATCTAAATCTCCTCCCTTCCAGTTTAAAGCCATTTCTTGTCCTGTCACAACATGCCCTTGTAAAAAGTCCCTCTCCAGATTATTTGTAAGGCCCCCTTTAAGCACTGGAAGCTGCTCAAAGGTCTCCCTGAAGCTTTCTCTTCTCCAGGCTGAACAATCATAACTTCTCTCAGCCTGTCTCCATAGGAGAGGTGCTCCAGCCCTCTGATCATCTTTGTGGGACTCACTTCAACAGGTCCACATCCTTCTTCTTATGGTTGGGGCCCCAGAGCTGAACACAGTACAGAACTTAATGTCTATGAACTTGGAGGTTAAAAAGTTCTCTCGATTAAACTGCTCCAAAAAGTATTCCACTGATATCGTGGAGACCCTCTTCCATTCACTGTATCAATAATGCAGCACCTGAAACTAGCATACCAAGTATATAGAGAAATCTGAGGTTCTTCAATACAAATGAGGCAAATACCTTATCATGACAAGGTATGATGAGACAGAAGTTTATCTGCTGTGTTTTACTGTGCAAATACTCTGCATTCATAAAAACAAACAAATAAAAAGGAACAGGAAGTGTGCTAAAAGCAAGCCCTCTCATCCAGCCTCCATATTCTGCATTCCTTCTGTGTATTATAGCTCTCCCAGCTAAGAGGTGGTAGTTGGGTTTCAAATCAAAGTGAAACAGGTTAACTTCACCCTCCTCAGCAAAGAGTATTTTATAGGAGGTGATGCTCGAAACCAGTGCAGCTATTTTAGAAGACTGATTGTGTCTGAGCAACATCTACTACAGCGGGTTCCTGACATCAGCCAAGCTGACATCATACTCCACTCCACATGCTCCCACCATACAAAATTAATGAGACTAAAATAAGGGACTAAAGATTTACAACAGATTAGCAATGAAAATAAAGTTCTTTCAGTATTCATAGCCTGACATTTATTTTTTCCTGAGCTGATTTCTTCAGGCTACCATGAGTTATGAAGACCTACAAAACACTAGTTTCCTTTATTTGCTAGAAACAGTGAAGTTTAACTAGATGAAATCTTACTTTCTCCATTGAGAGAAAAACAACAGTCATATTAACATAAAAGATCTCTGGATTACAAAATTCACTTACTATTATGGTTTTAAAAATTCAAGTCAATGAAGTTAATAGATCTAGATCCTCTAACACATGACAAGCTAATTGAATACTTGCAAATGGATGACATTGCTATAGCTTGTCTACAAAGTGTTGAAATAAACTTCCAGTTTCTCTATGAAACAGTAGCATCCTTTAAAACTGATACAGAGTAAACAAGTTCCTCTGCTCCCGATTAAACAGATGGTGTACATTTCACTGGCGACACTGCTTCACAGTATCAGCCTGCTGATGTATGTGTCACAGGCTATTATATTAAAAATGAAGAAATATATATATAGAAATCTTCTAATCACTATTATATAAAGTATGTTTAAATACCAACTGTATGTTTCATAATTCAAGTTGTAATTCTTTGTTGGTTTTTGATTGCATGCTATATGTTTATTGAGACCATCCTATGAAATAAAAATTATTTGCACCTGAACCACTGGGAAGTACCTGAGAACACACCTTGCTGAAGGCCAGCAGGTAACAGTCCTGAGCTTTATTAGAAATTAACGACTTTATGCCCAAGAGCCTAGCAATTCCTGAAATAGAATTTCTGAAGGCAACAGCTACACTTCCAAAAGTTAGTACTTATGTTTTCTGCCTCTGGGCTTGACCCCTACCTATTGTTTTGCCGTGCAGAAGGAGGCTCTTGTGGAATCCAGCCAGGTGATATCAGATCAGTTCCTGGGGGAACTGGCACCCAACTGAAGGTGTATGGAGGAACTCCGGCGAAGCTGAAAGTGAAGTTAAGCACCTCTTCAAGTGCACAGTGACACCTGCCTTTCCCACTGGCTGGCTCTAGCAGTCTCACTGCTCAGTGTGCAGCATCACAAACAGGCACTGGAGGAGTTCACAGAGGTCCTGTTAATTGCTCTCCAAAACTACCTACTTCTTTTCACTGGCTATATGGGACAACCGATTGTTTCACTCTGCCAGTCCAGAAGTGTATTACTGCAATCAATCACAAAACTCTGGAGCTGGCAATCTGGGTTACACCAAAGTGAGAAATACTAAGGAATATCTGTCAGCCAGTGCTAAATCTGTATTATGACTTGGACATATGTGCACACAGCATGCTACCTTGATGATCTCAGCCACACATGCATGTAACATGCTTCTCCAAGCTGTCTTGTCTGCTACGTCTTTGTGTATGGCTGAATATAAGCTGGAATATAGAAGGATACTTTCTGAGCTGCTCAGAGACTTGAATTTCTTTTACTGTTGGCACAAAGCAGTAACACTCACAGCCACAACTGCGAAAGGCATGAAGGACATTTGTAAGTGTGCTTCTCTCACAGGACTATCTCTTACTTGGAGTGTAAAAAGGAGGCAAGACAAAGTTTTGGTTTTCTTTCCTTGGAAGTATAATTTCAGATATCTTTTGATGTATCAGAGAAGTAAATGCTTCTCACTTAGGTTACCTTTTACTAATCAAAAAAGAGTATCGAGCATACCAGTAAAATAAATGGAAATCCTGCATACATGGGCACTACTTTTACTTAAGCATAAGGCATGAAAAAGCAGCTTTATTTTTTTTTTTCAAGCATAGCTATCACCTTTACTCTTGATGCTCACTAGCTGGAAATGAAGCCTAGTACAAAGTTCCACTTTCCAGAAGCATCTTGGACTATCCACCACATACATCATCATTGAACAATCTGGCACTGACATTGAAGTTGACCATTTACAGTAATCTGAATATTTAGGTAATGAAGAAGTCAGTGTTGCAAAATTCTAAGCCTTTTATTGTTTTCCTTGATCCTTTATTCTTGTTCTTCTCATTCTGAGCTCATCACATTTTTCAAGCTTCTCTCAGTGGTTTGCGCTTATCAGTGTTAGTAATTCTTTATTCTTCTTATAGCTTTAGGATCCACACATCTTCAGCTTTACTCTCATGTTCTTCATTCCAGTCTGCCTTGCTCTGACTCCAGAGCAGACCAAACTAACAAAAGATAATAAAGAACTACCTACAGATAAACTGCAAATTAAATATTACCCAACCACAAAATATTATTTATCGATAAATCCTTTTATCCTCTTATTCTGTTCTCCTCTTCCTTTTAATCTCTGAGAGGCTGACTCTACAGTAGGTCACAGGTACAATAAGCCTGGATTCCTTGAAGTGAATTTTGCACTAAAAGACAGTTCAGTGAAACAAGAGTCCTACACTGTCCAAATGCAATGTACAAGTTACCATTTGGGGTATAGAGAAAAGCTCATTACTCTGAAACTGATTTATGAGAATAGGTTACTTCACTGTAAGAAGAATTAATGTGGTAATATTTATTTTTTCATTGTTTCTTAAAGAATATTTGCCTTCAGTTCTTCCTCCCCTGTGTTGTCTCAGCATCATTGCTGAGAGCACTCTGACTTGGAGATCAAATTTTGTTTCTTAAATAAGATGGTCTCTCAATATGGAACAAGATCTAAATAGTTATGTTAGAGTGCTGGCAGTTTTTATTCCTTGTTAAAGTTTTTTGGAGAAAAAAAATAACCCTCAAAACTGATACAGTAGCCTAGATACCTGTCAGCTTTAGATATCTGTCAGTAATTAAGTGCATCACTTATTAGAATAAAATGCACTGATTAGGAGTTTTTAATCAGTAAAATCCACACATTTACTATGGGTTAATATTTAGATCTAGTCTGGAAAAACATAAGTACAGTTTTAAAAGTTAATCATTAGGAAGCTAGATGGGTAATCCTGCCTTATTTAATAATCATCAGCAAGTGTATAAAGATTTCAATATACACTTCATAGGAACATTTTTTTTTTTAATTCCTACCTTGAATTCCACGTTCTCCTGGTGGCCCTGGCAAACCATCCTTTCCTGGTGGTCCCGGTAACCCATCTTTTCCTGGAGGCCCTGGTTTTCCATGCGCTTGGGAGGCAAGCATTGCAGCAGGCAGCTTCAGCTGGGATACAAACTGAGCCATCCTTTCTTTATTAACAAAGGACACAAAAAAAAAGTGGTTAAGAAATCTGCTTGCAAAGTATGGGAAAATAAATGAATCCCAAAGCGCCAGGTAAAGTGTTTAATCCTTCTAAACGTCAAGGCATTAAGTGTTCCTATAAGTAGAGGCCTTCAGTTCCACCTCTAGACTCATGTTTGAGTCTTTACCCTTTGAAATAATCTGAATGAATTTGTACTAAAGTATCTATTATCACTCTCTTTTACCAATGTATTCCAATATTTCAAATAACTTCTGATTCATGGAAGTACTTAAAATACATAACACAGAATAATTAGTATTTAACACCCCTATGAAGGGCTACCTTGTATGTTTGTAACTCACAGTAAATTGCAAATTAGAGTTTAAATACTGCAAATTCCAAGTTCTTGGAATATGCAGAATCCTTGAAAAAAGTTGCAAAAATATCCATATAAGTTCTCAGCAAACATTATTAATTGCTGAGCATTTAGCTAAGATTTCATCATGAACTGTTTAAACTGGTGGAATAAAGTGCACTTTTTAACATTTCAGTGTTCCTTAGAGGTAGACAAAATAGGCACTAACCTTGAATCTGTCTCATTTACACTGGATTAAAAACCTTAATTAAGTATTTCACAATTTATCAGGTATTTAATGTGGTGGAGTTTCAGGAGTGGGCATCATACAAAAAATAAAAGTTGATAGAAAATAGGCAAAGTGAAACAAAGCCAGAAGATCTGTGGCATCACTAATGAGGCGTAGAAAATGGAATAGCTTAAAAGGCAAAAGCCAACATTCCCTGTAGGCAGGACACTGTTTAATATTTTATTTTTATGAATAGACTAACTAACTTGTTACCGTTCCATTTGAATGGGAAGAAGAGGTAACTTCAGCCAACAAAATGCTTTGGAATACATAGTAGGTTGAACTCCTAAGGGGTAGCAGTCTGGGGAAGGGTGAAAATACAAAGAACAATAGCCTTGTTCTAAAGTGAAAAACTGCCTGAACAGTTTAAAAAGTCTTGAGCTTTATGTGATTTCTTTTATCCCTGAAAGATAAAAAGTTTTGTAACCATAAATAATAATGACTAACTATCTAAGCATATTGCAGACATAAGAAATGCATTTTGCAATGGAAGAGAAACTACTGTTAAGAGATGTTGGAGCAGAAGCTCATTTCAGACACCTACCTGAGTCATAGCTTTTCAACCCTGACTGAGAAAACACCAGGAAAGAAACGTACCTCCTTTTCAGAGTAAGGACACACCTCAGAAAGATTACATAGTACAAAGGCCATGACTGAATCTGGTACTTGCCTAAATTGTGCCAGAAGATGGTGGTCCGCAAGGGAGCTTTGGAGCACATTTGCTGAAAATGCACAGCAGTTTAGACCTGCATGACTGAAAGCTGTCAAGCCTTTCTCTCATTTGGAGAGTCATCCACTAAGCGGCCAAAATAATTAGATCTTTCTATTGTCTCCTCTTTAATAAATCTTCAGTGTCTTTAACGATACATTGTAGATACCTATGTATCTGCAATAGTGTATGATGCATACATGTATCTAAAATGATACATACATACGTTTGCTATTATGATTTGGAACAAACTGCATGTTAATGCTAATCTTCTACAGAATTAAATACTTTGTTAACAGATACTGTAATTTATAACTGTTTGAACAGAGTTATATTGAGTAGACTTAAACAACAATTAAACATAGCTACAGCAACAAAGCAGCTGCCAAATGCAGCGTAAGTTACATGACATGTAAAGAAATGCATATAAAGGCTGTAGGGATGTAAAACATTTAGAAGGTAATTTAAGATTTATGTTTAATTGTATAATACTTCATTTTCTTACCTTCAAAAACCTTAAGAACTTCTTGTTTGATGATTTTTTTTATTTCGTCGAGTGAAACTGTATCAACCTGATGAGGAAAATAAAAGGTGATATGTATCAGAAGAAATACACAGAGGGCACTTTATAATGATACAAGAATAATAATAAAAAAAGAAAAGGCAGAAAATATCATTTAAAATGTAAAGCTTTTACCAAAAGTTAAATATTTGAATGTGTGTGTGTTTTACTTAACTGCTAAGGTCACTGTATTGCAAATACATTATAATTCTATAAAGACTACTAATACCACGTAGTGGAAGAGGCACTTCCAAACTGTCAAGATTATCAGCATGTTATGTGTAGCAAAATTAATTTTCATTAGACAGCAAGGACGTTCAGTGACACCACTATGCTATACTTGCCTTTGCCATAGCATTTGCCGGCTTCTCACCCCCTCTAACTACTAGCTGCTTTGAGGCACAGCTGACTAACTAGAACTGCATCACAGGACCAATAACTTCCCTGGAAAAGCTTTTTAGAGCTTTATCCTATCTGATTTAGGGTAAAAAGAACTCGTAACATGGATATGTCTCTGTGCACACATGGGGACAAACCAAGATATCTACAACTGACATGCGGCATTTTGCTGACTTTTTAAATGTTGATTCTTCTTTTATTAAGAATCATTTTCGTTTGCCTCATTTTCCCTCTCAGTGGCAAAGACTTAAACTTGAGCTCTTAAGCTTATGAAAAGCTTGAAAATTAACGGTATTGAGTAACTATATTTTCAGGATCTAAATAAATAAAGTTTAAATATATACCTTAGTTTTTCTAATACTGTTGTATTTCTTGTTTGAATTGCCACTGCTCAGCACATGCTACTTTCACATCATCTGAATTCACTGACAACCAAAGAAAACTTGTATTTACTTACTGGAAACCCTGGGGGTCCTGGAGAACCTGGGGGACCTTGATGGCCTGGTGACCCTGGATAGCCTCTGTCTCCTGGGGGTCCAACAGGACCCACATCCCCCTTTTCTCCTGATGGGCCAGGTTTCCCTCGTTCACCTTGTGGACCTCTGTCTCCTGGAATACCCTGATCTCCCTGTGTAAAATAAAAGCAGAAAGAAAATCATTGCACACAGTGGAAAAAACTGAGAAAAGCCACCCAAGAGAAAATTCTCCCTGTTTAGAGATAGTTTTTATGAGTAATGCAAGGAAGCTTATTTTACAGGATAACCCTTGTTTCTGAAAACACACCAAGTAATATTTTGTTTTGTTACACTTTCAGTGTTGAAGTCAATGACAAAAAAATTAGCTTGACTCTGTAACCTACTTTTCAAGGACAGAACTTTGGTGCAGACAGTTTATAGCCCTTCCACAAGGATTTAGAAACATCAAATATGGTACAGGTAGAATTTAGGTGCTCAAATTTCCCCACGCACAAGGCATCAAGATTCTTCTGTAACTTTCCCTAAAAGCCTGATATTTTATTTCTGCACATAGACAAAATTTCAGTTAATCAAAGAAACAACAAATCCACAAATCTATCTATAATGAGTAAATTCCTTGCAAACAAAATGAATTAGATGTCAGTGTTCTGTCCACCAACAACTTCCGTCATGGGTGAGATGGCATTTGTTTTATTTGCGAGAAAGTAAATCTTTTATAGTCACTTAATGTATTAGCTATTAGGTCACTGAAGTACAGCTGTGGTGCCTAGTGCCACAAGTCACACACTCTGATCATTAATGAACAACTGGCAATTCTTAAGGGTCACTGTCTGCCCTTGAAGCTTCACTTAAACTAAAGTTAAGCTCCACCACGAGCACCAAACAGCATCAAGAACTAACTACATCATTAATAGCTAAATCCAGAATCTACATTTATGAAGGGTGAATGAATGGAATTAATTGCATTCTTAACCTACAGCTTCTTAAGTCATATTTACATGACAGGTAAAGATTGAAAAAGAAATAAAGAAAGGTAAGGATGCAAGTAGGAGGTTGTATAACACTTTTATCACCTATCTGTCCTCCAAACTGTGATTTACAGTGAGTTGGAGCTTATTATTGACTATAACTAAGCTTCACTACAAAATCAATTATAACTTGTGAGGTTTTACTGCATTAACTGAAACCATAGCACATTCCCAACTGGAGTTTGAATTGCCCTCAGTAAGAGTGCAGAGGCTCTGAACTCTAAAAGTTTTCTGCAAGAAAAAAAAATCCACAAGTGTCAAAATCTGAGACCTCATCATCTCACACTTACACTTTTAACCTCCATGGTGGGCTGATGTTGGCTGCCTGCCACATACCCACCCAACTGCTCTCTCACTACCCCTCCACAACAAGACAGGGAGAAAATGAGATTAAAAGCTTGTAAATCAAGATCAGGACAGGGAGATCACTCACCAATTACTGACAGGGTTAACAAAAAACTGAACTTGGGGAAGATTAATTTAATTTATTGAGACTTAATAACAGAACAGGATAGTGAGACCTTCTCCTCAACCCACCCCCTTTCTTCCCAAGCTCAACTTCACTCCTCACTCTTCTACCTCCTCTCCCTCAGAGATGCAGTGGGATAAGGAATGTGGGTTGTAGTCAGTCCTTAACACTTCATCTTGGCTGCTCCTTCTTTCTTAAATTTTTCTCCTACTCCAGTGTGCGGTCTTTCCCATGGGAGATAGTCCTTCATGAACCACTCCAGCATGAATCCTTCCAATCGGGGGCAGTTCTTCAGGAACGGACTGCCCCAGTGCGGATCCCCCATGGGACACAGTTTCTGCCTGAAAACCTGCTCCTGTGTGGGCTCCACTCCATGGGCTGCAGGTCCTGCCAGGAACCTGCTCCAGTGTGGGTTCTTCCTTGGCTGCAACCTCCTTCAGGGCACATCCACCTGCTCTAGCATAGGTTTTTCCATGAGCTGCAGGATGGATAGCTACTTCACCATGGACCTACATGGACTGCAGAGGGACAACCTGTCTTCATCAGGATCTTCTTCAGTCTGCAGGGAATCTACTCCAGCACCTGGAGTACCCATCTCCTCCTTCTTCACTGACCTTGGTGTCTGCAGATTTGTTTCTCTCATGTTTTCTCAGTGTTCTCTCCCAGTTGTTGTGCAGCACTTTTTACCCTTTCTATCACACAGGCAGTACCAGCATCACTTCTGGCCTCAGCTTTGGCCAGCAATGGATCTGTCTTGGAGGCATCTGGAATTGGCTCTGTCTGGCATACTGGGGGCAGCTCATTTCTCGCAGAAACCACCCCTGTAGCCTCCTTATTTCCAAAACCTTGCCATGTAAACCCAATACAACCTGTCAAACTGCTAACATGATCCTATTCAAGGATGTCAGTGTGACACAGAAACAATCTCAATGTGATTACATTTATTGTGTGTTTCTTAAAAGACCTATCCTGCCATTACTGCTGACACCTGATTTCCAGTTTTATTTTCTGGGCATTAATACCTCAGGCAAAACTCTAAATATGCAGCATATTAATTATTTCCAACAAACACACGGCTACTTTAGCTATTTGGTAGAAGACAGATAAGATATGATGTGATACCTAAGACAACTGAAACCCCTGTCAAAGAACTTCCAAATTTTCACCAGTTGGTGGGAGCAGGAAAGGTAATGTATGTGCATTTGGGTTACTGGAAGAGTAATGTTCTGATGGAAGAGGCATATCTTTTCAGGTTTCTATAAACTTTAAGATTTATAGGAAAAAGTGTTCTGTCCTGCATACAGCTATGGTATCAGCACATGTATTGCTACACCTTGACAAATTCAGGGCACAGGAAAGATTCCGACTAAGCAGAACTTTTGTAGTCTGCAAAGAAGAGGCTCTTTCCTGGCCTTAAACAAAGTTTTTGCAACCAGTCTGTATATCCTACTTCACTCACAGCAACCTGAAACATTATAAAATTGAAGAAAAACTTCTGTTTCACCCTATGTTTCTGTAAAATTGGAAAGAGGTACAGTATTTAATATAATGTTTAGTTTAGACCCCACACACACACGCAAGCATCCACATGTATAAATAAATCTGCCTGAAGATTACTGTACTTACAAGAAGCCTTCATTAAAAGCATATTAAGGCATAACTATACACATAAAATTTCCCACATTTACAACCCTGCAGAGTAGGCATGGATAGCAGTTCTACTAGAAATAAAGATGTAGGTTTCTGTAAGCCCACAGTGCTATGGCAATGTGAAGCTGATCCTAGAATTAGTTTTCTTCTAAACGATTCCCATTTTACAGTCTCCCAATGGTAGGAGGCAGATCAAATACTACAGCCACTTTTCAAACAAGTGCTTTTTTAACTGCCTCCAGTGTTTTCTTTGTATTTGGAAGAAGCTCCTAGTAAAAATTCATTAAACTAGGTCATGTCTTCCTCTGGTTCCTCTTTAAACTCTCCTTCAGTATGAATTGTACAAAAAACAGGGTAGCACATTGTGTTTTGCAAGCTCTGCCTACGGTGCTAATTTATTCAATCCTCATCCTTCTTAGTGCTCTTCCATCTCTTGCATTTAACCGTGTGCTAAATTCTGTGCAGAATAAACCATTGCTTTCCCTAGGTTTCTACATGCTCTAGCTGATCAAGGTATGCAGATAACAGCAGTAAAGGAGCCAGCCACAAGTACTTTAATCTGTTGCTGAAGTGACTTGAAAGACATATGTCTGATTCATATAAACTACGTGTTTTCAACTGGTTTGTCATTCATTTTATAAAGTAGTAATAACAGCAGTGTTTAGTCACTCAAAGGATGTGTAAGATTACTTCAGCTGAGGCAATGTCTTCTTTCTTCAAATGATTCTAGAAGGATATACTTATATTAGGCATGAAAATCTCATGAGTTTTATTCTGTTGCTCCAATTTTGATGCTTCTCTTTTCTGTAATTGCAACAGCTGATCTCAAACTGAAGGAGTACGCTATACAGCAGAAGTAATAATGGCTGCAAGAGAATACTGACTTTCTGTTATTTTCTGTAATCACTGCAATCTCTCTCACAGATGCAGGTCTGTAATACCTGATCCAGAGGGGGGAAAATGAAAAATCAACTCCAACTGCCCCACTGATCTCTTACCTGAGATGCAAACTTCTGCTGTGTATTTCACTGTTAATTCTTTGGCAGATCTCCCCTTGTTTTCCACAAACCTATTTTTTTCCTGAAGAATTGTAAGGAACAACTGGCAGCTGTCTGAAAACTGTACTGAGGCATTGCATTAGACATTTATTTGGCTTTTGTGTTATAAAAGATTGTGAGAGATTTTGATTATCATGTGAGACAAAAATACTTATGGAAATTGATTAATTTTTTAATCTTGTATCTATATATTTATTTTATGTATACGTATGTGCATATATATATATATTTTTTTTCTCTGTACAGAGAGAGCTAGCTCATGACATGTTTTGCCAGTGATCCCAGAAGTGAGAGCAGATTCAGGAATCTGTGACCTCTCTGAGAAGAAGCGCATATCTGCATTTACATCTATGGCTGCAGGTACATGTGTGTATGTATGTACTCTATCACCAATGACACTGGAATAAATACGTCCTCTTCTCTTACCCATAAATTTCTCAAGTTTCACTCTGATGAAGCAAGCTAAGGCTGCGTCTCTGTCTCTCAAAAGACTTCTCGAACATTCTCCTCTCTGTCAGTATGTTTTAAGGTCATGCACTCAGAAGTTCAGCCTCCTCTTTTGGTTGTATGTGTGCAGTTCTATTTGCAGGGCACTCAGATAGGTTGACACTGAGACGGTCAAGGTTGAGCAGTGTAATTCAGTACACAGTAGGTGGTACAAAAGAAGGATCTTACGTTTAATTAGTGTCCTTCAAGGCAGAAACAGAACATTGGAAAGGGTCAGTTGTCATATGGGACAGTTGTTGTAATAATGGTTAAAACCTCATATGTCCTCAGTGTCATAAAGTAGCATTTCCTTTTCCAGATTACACAGGGAGGTGCTTTTCTGATTCATCAAATAAATGCAGTATCAACTGGATTAGGATATGAGGACTTTAGTAACGTTGTAACAGCAGCAGAGTAGGTTCTGGGATTTTCTTTGCTGTAGCAAAATAAAGATCATCTCTCATCTCCTATAATGATTCCTGTCCACCATGACCTTCTTACCATGAACAGAAAAGTCTAAGCATTTTGGGAACCAGTAAGGTATTGCACTGGCATTCCTGCTGCCCAAGTGCAACCAGGTTGTTTTATATAAAATGTGATTTGTGTTTGTGACATACAAAGATCCCAGGGATGATGACAGGGCAACCTTTACAGCTCTTGCAAAGTCTGATGGCATCACAACAGGATTAGCTACTTTCCACTTTTCAGCCTATTGATCTTATTTACACTGTCCAGGCCAACTGTTTTAGAAAGTCTTCCTCTAAATGCAAAAGCCAACTCAACTCTAATTCCTTAAAGTCATGTCCAGACTAAACTTCTTAGTGGCCTAGAAGACTGCTTGAAGTTCACAAAGAATTAATTTCTTGGTTTTGCCTGATAAGGCGCTCAGATGCTCAATAAAAAGACAAAAAAATATTGAAACAAGGGACTTACACGTTCTCCTTTGGGTCCTCTGTCTCCTGGTCTCCCTACAGCACCCTGGAAAATTGTTTTTGAAAAAAGATAAAAGTATCAGTTAAAGATTTTTTTAGTATGTTCATCTGTTAGCAGAACTGAAAGCAACTTCTGTGATTAACAGCTATGGTATCCATCAAGAATAAATACCCTACTATGCAAAAGAATGTTTTCCTACCGGAGGACCTGGCAATCCATCTTTTCCATTGATTCCCTATTAAAAACAAACAAACAATTTTTAATCAATATACTTACGTATATGAAATTTAAAAATACAAAGGGTAAAGCTGTGTTTAGTGATGGTACCCGTACATATTTTGAGGCTACAGAGGCAGCAGTTTGTGTAGTTGCAACATAGAAATAGTCTTGAAATGTGAAATAAGAGAGCTCAGCACAATACTGAAGTGCAAGCACATTGAATTGGAGCTGAGAGCAGATAAAAAAAGTCTTCAGCATCAAGATGTGTGCTTATTAAAGCTGGTGCACATCTTTAAATGACAAGATATATGGAAATTATGCAAATGTGGAATATGGACCTGTACAAACACTCTTCCAGTCCTAGCTAGTCATTATGCAACCATAAAAGAGATTTTTCTTATTGTAGATGTTAGCCTTTATGTCCTATTACTCTTCTCTTCCAGATTACACCTTAACAGAAAATGGCCAGATCCATTCTTTGGTCCTTATGGGCTGTGGCACACTACAGTTTCAGCCTCCTGATCTAAATATAGAATCATAGTATCGTAGAATAGTTAGGGCTGGAAAGGACCTTCCTTCTCAAAAAAGAGGGTATTCTCATTTCCTTCCGGAAACAGTCCCAGGCCCACCTTGTCCCCTAAACTGGCATTATCTGAGAGTCCTAGTTGGCATGGACCAAAATAATGCCAGAGGGTATGTTAACAATAGCAAAATGCCAGAAAATTGCAAGATATGTGCTCTGGCACTGTTTAATTTACTAGGATATAAACAGATTTGTATACACAGGAAATTCATTGTTGTTCAACCGAGTGAGAAAGAAGGACTGGCATGAGCAAAGACATCAGGAATACTTCCTTCCCTCTCATACTGCAAACTTGGGTTTTGCACAGATTAGGCACCTAGGGGCAATTTGCTGCTGAAATTACAGAAGTTGTCTCTTCTTTCAAGACAGAAGCATAATATGGAGATATGCTAACAGACTGAAATGGTCTGCTATTGCTTGTCCCCCAAACACCAAGCTTTGGGGGGAAGATTATGAGTTCTGGACTATCCTAGCCAAACCACTTCTAGAATATAAACTAGGTTGTTTTAAACCAGCTCAGGCAGTAATGGCTAAACAGCTGCCACTCTTTTATTAAATAAAGAGGTCAGATAGACATATCCTAAGTGAACAGTAAATGCTTCAGCTGCAGTGCTGCATCACCTGTATACAGAAGAGTTACCAAGTTTATTAAGAGTAATGAAGCACACACTTTTCTATCTGAACTGAAACTAAGAACTTAATTGTCACCCTATCCTTCATCTGCCCTTCATAGACTCTGTTGAGTGTCTGGGTTAATTTCTCCTTCTGAAAAAAATACAAGAGGATCCTTTAAGTCAACGGATCCAAAGGACCCTCACATAAGACCTTTAAAGGCAACTTCTCAGTAACATTAAACATTGAAACATCACACCACCAGAAATTCTTGACTGAATGGTTAATATTGAACACTGTAGCTCTAAGTGTTCTTCAGATTTTATCTAGCCTAACATAAAGTAGGGTGTAATCTCATTTCTTTTGTAACTTCTAATAAACTAAGATGCATTCTTTTGTAATGAGCACATATATTCAGTATAAAATTGCTTACTGGTTTTCCTTGTGGCCCTTCTGGCCCAGGGAAGCCGATATCTCCTATAGGGCCCCTTTCACCCTAAGAAAGAAGAAAACATGCCTATAAATTTGCATGTAAATCTTGCATTCAGTGTTTGAAATATTTGTGCATTATCATAAGAATTCAGTACTCAAATCTATACTTACAGGTTCCCCTGGCATCCCTGGGGACCCAGGAGATCCCGGCTTTCCCTGCAAAAAGAGAACATTAAAAATTCAAATTACTAGGAAGCAAAACATAATTTTTCTTAGGTCAAAAATAAGAGGATATATATTTGAGTGAAATATTCATGTTACTGCTTGTTACATGCTTTAAGGGAACAGAAATATTTTTTACCAGATATTTTACCAGATATTTTACCAGATATTTTAATATTTGTGCCATGTTAATCTGGCTCTTGTGTACAAAATAACTTGGTCTTCTTTACCCTTCCTGAATACCGAGATAATGTTTTCATGAAATTTTCTTTGGCAACACCTTGATTTCTTTCTTGAGAAGTCATATCAGATCAAAGTTTATCACTGTATATATGATATCAAGATTTTTTTCCTTCAGGTACTTCCTAGTCCTGATTTTTTTAAAGTGCATTACTGACTTTTGCAAATTTTCTTCAAGCTCTTTCTTGGCCACTTTTATTGTCAGTTTATGTTCAGCCTGCCAGAATTCACAATCCTATCTCATCACATCATTTAGATGGTGATTTTAAATGATGTTTTGTTTTTAATAACCTACCTGTTTCAGCAAGACAAGAATCTATTACCCTGAATCTACATTTTCCAGAAACATCCTTAGACCTGATCCTCAGCTGACTTGTACAAGTGAGGGATCTAATACATCAGTTCCAGTGACAACTTCAGGAACAACAGAACTGAGGACAGTTGAGGAAATAGGCACTGGTGGCACTTCTTGCTGAATTTCAATCCAAGCTTCTGTGATAATCCCACTCAGTAAAAAGCCCAAAGCTAAAACGAGAATATTTCCAAATGGGAGAAAGGGTCCATTACTTAATCTAGGAAATAATGCAAGGCAAGGAGGACAAATTCTCTTCCAGTAAGATACATAGATATATTGCAAAAACTCTTCCTAGAGTACTAAAAAATATTGTGGTACCTATGTCTATTTGTTAATTAAAACTGCTTAGCATAAAATGTTAAAGCAAATAATTTATTCCAGTGGATTTTATTAGAATTAAATGTAATTTACAGAACACAACTCCATCAGCAATAAAGGGAACTTATTCGATTTTTTTATATCCAGCTAGGATAGAGGGCAACAAGACTAAGTCTTGTAACATATCCAGTGGAAAATACACAGAATGAACAATTGTGATCATGCTAATTCACTATTGATTCACAGCATGAAATATATATTTCAGAGCAACAAGCTTTGAAACTTACATGGACTATAAAACTCAGAGAAACACTCTTCCCCTTAAATGTTCCATTTTATATTGTTTTAGAAGAACTTAACTAAATCAAGCTGTTTAGGCTGACGTTCCTTCTTGGAACTCACAGGAAATAGGCTAAATCAATGGCTAATGGAAATAGAAGTACATAGACTGGCTCGCAAAGCACATTTATAATTTAAAACCAGCTCCTGAATGGATTGGTAGCTGCCCAAATTTAATAATAGATGTATTTGCATATAAGTAACTCCATACTGCCTCCTGAAATATGGATACACTTTCTTATTAAACTGTGAATGCAATATAAAGAAAAGTTGTCTTCATTTCCTTTAAGAACACAAATAAGTAATTATAATTTCAACTTATCATTAGTTACATTTACTTTCACCCACAACAGTTTCTGGATGACTTTCATAAACTTCTCTGAATACCACATGTAAATAGCTGACAAAGCATTCCCCTAAAGCAAATATTAGATCTACTTGATATGCAGATCCTTGTGGATTTCAATAACTAACGCTCTTAATATTTCTTTGTGACAGAAAGATACTCAGAAATTTGTGCATGCTCAGGAGCACAGAAAATGTTTTTAACTATATTAAACTGAGGCAATAAGAATCTCATATGCTTTCTTAAGTAAGCATATGCAGCTTCAAATTCCAGCTTTATCATGTATTCACACCATTCCCACCTGTCATTTTAATAATAATATGAACCCTCAGTGGTATTAAAACTCTCATCTCTTTAGGAAAAACACAAAATTTTCATACCTGTCTATAAAAAATTAGGCAAGCACTGGTGTTCCACAAACAGCGATTGAGATTACAGCTCAGCACCTTGCTTGACCTGTTTTTTAGCAGGTCAACTAAAAAAAACCTGAGTTTTCATTAATGAATACACATACCGGTGTCCCGGCTACTCCTGGCGTGCCAGCTGGTCCCCGGTCACCCTGAAGAAAAGATAAATCTATACATAAATGGTAATGCTTAAACCAGACATTTGTTTGTGGATTCCCATTAAAACCTGAGGAAGGATTATTCAGTAAATTGCAAATAAGGACAGGAGGCAGGCTCTGCTAAATGCTAACATTTAGCTCTGCCACCATCTCATTTTACAGATTGGAGCAAGTAACATAAATCTTTTGTTTAGATTCTCTTGTGTAATGTCATAATTTCCATGCTATCCCTCCTATACTCTGCTTGAGGCCTTCCTTGAAAAGGGACAGAAAGTCCCTGACTTATCTGTAGTTTTCCAAATAATTATAATTTGTGATCATGACAATGTCCAGAATTCACATAGGGTAATTCACTATCCTATCAACAGCCCCATATTTAAGATGTACCTTTCAATGAAGCTTTTGCCTCCAGGCTACTTGGTCATCCATTTCCTGCAAGTTGACATCTTCAAGTTGCTTGTGTTATGGTCCTTTCAGGGCAAAGTTTCTCCTTTTAGCATACACTACCTTCATCTATGCTTTAAGCTAAGACAATGGCTTTTGTGCTAGAGCTGATGAATTATGTGCACAAATTCATATTTATCTCTTGAGAGAACAATAGCCCAAAGCAGACAGTGGTAAAACCCTACCCAGTGAGATATTTTTTTAAAGGTTGGACCAGATGATCCTTGAGGTCCCTTCCAACCTGGTATTTTATGATTCTATGATATGACTTGCCAGAACCTACTGCTGACATGTTTTGGACTGTAACACTACACTCTGCTAGTGAAACATTGCTTAAAATTAAAGAAAAAAATCATGCTCCTAGTTTCTATAATCACAGAATCATAGGATAGTTAGGGTTGGAAAGGACCTTAAGATCATCTAGTTCCAACCCCCCTGCCATGGGCAGGGCAGGGACACCTCACACTAAACCATGTCACCCAAGGCTCTGTCCAACCCGGCCTTGAACACTGCCAGGGATGGAGCATTTATAACTTCCTTGGGAAACCCATTCCAGTGCCTCACCACCCTTACAGTAAAGAATTTCTTCCTTATATCCAATCTAAACTTCCCCTGTTTAAGTTTTAACCTGTTACCCCTTGTCTTATCGCTACAGTCAGAAAAGCCATACTAACTGGAGAATATTTTATGAGATGAGTTTATGTTACCTATAGCTGTTTTGCAAAAGCTCCCCCAACACAGCTGCGTTCACAGCAGCCATCTTCTCCTGTGCAGAAGAGCCCAAGGAGATGCTGGGATTTCTGGTTTCTGTTTTTATAACTAACACTGATGTGTCATTCTCATAATTTTGTTCAGGTAGTGCAATGATAATGCTGGTAATTGGAAACACTTAACTCCATTACACAAAGAGTAGACAGATGGTAAGTTAAATGTCTGATCTTGTGCCTGGGGGGAGAAGCTTGGCCAGCAGCTTACAGGCCACAGTTCAACCTCTCCTGCTCTGTAGGCTAGCAGAAAACACTTAATGCAAGTTCACCACTCAGTGAGGAACACAACATGCACCTCAGGAACACCTGAGCATGGAGTATATTTAGCAGGGTATATTGCCTGGAGCTCTGCATTCTATCCCTGTGGTTATTCAGGACCCAGAATTTGTATTGTGGTGTTTTCCCTATATATTGGCTATGACAGTGGAGCTAGAAATTCCTAACACTTCCTTTGCAACATTTGTCTTTTAAGAGTTATTTTGGTCCTTCCAGTAATGTGAGTTGCAGCATGGTTGCACAAACCACTGTGTCAGCATAGCTAAGGGAAAGGAAATTTCACCGCAAGGACACAAAGTCCTTAGGGCAGTTCACAAAATTATCGTGAAATTACAGCCAGCATTGCCTGGGGAAGATGGTACACAGAGGTATGCAATAGCTCTAAATTAAAAACCAGCATGTACTAGGCCACTGGCAGGCAGACCCTCAGACCCTGTGCTTCTGTTCATTTATTTACACCAGAAATGTGACCAATTTAGCTAAGGAAAGGATATTTTTACTTTGGAAAAGGGCCAAACACTCACTAAGCTTGTTTATATAATCTGCTCCATTGGTTATTCTCTGTTTAATTCTTGTCCCCACTTTGTCTCAGTTAAACCAGTAATATTTCCCTGTGATTGTTCATTTGAAATCGGATTAGTCTTTAATTGCTTGTAAATCGTAGTATTCCAGAGCAAGAATCATCTCATGTAACATCCAGTATAGACACCTACCTTAGATATTTTCAATCCCCAGTCTGCACAAGTAGGAGTACTGTGCAATGATTTTGAGAGAGAAAATTTTAATTTACATTGGTTTTTGGTGAAAAATATGTTTCAGAAAGCTATTTTTATATGAATCATTGAAATACATGTAATTAAAAAAGCTGAATAAATATTCAATTAAAAAAAATTTTTTCTTAAATTTATAATACATGGGCAAAGTCTGTTTTCACTGACAGAAAACATATATACAGATTTTTTCATTTCTCCAGTGATTTTTTTGTACTTTGCCATATTTAGAAATGAACAGCAAAATCTTAAATTTTTTAGCATTTCATGACAAGCTTTTCTCTAAATTCATATCAGCCTCCACAACTAGTAAGTGAAATGCTGAAACATGCCCCCAGCTGAAGGAAGGGATCATTTCCTAGTCCTGGAATACAGACTTGAACCACAGAAAGGAGGTGCATGACGATGCATGATACATTTCAGGATGTGCTACAGTGGCATCATACACACAGTAAAGTGTGCAACAACAGCAAAAAACAATACAAGGGGACTTTTTTAGAATAATGAGCAACAGTCCAAGAAAAGAGTGTTCTGCTCACTTTGAAGCAGGATGCATACAACAAGAACTGTATGGAACTGGTCTCTCCCTCCATTTTAACTCTTTTCTGCATTTTTATACTCATCTGAACTTATACTGACATTTACACTCTTAGAACAAGACAGATGGACTCTAAGCCTAAGGCAATGTCTAGAGAACATGAACTAGTGACCATACTTAGGAACATGTTAACTATATTACTATGAAGTAATATAGTCATATATAGTATATACTACATATAGTATACAGTAGCATTCTATCAAGTTAGGAAAATAAAATATTACAAGACCTCCTGCACACAATTTTTCATTTGTAGAAAGTGAAATTTTATGTTTGGTGATTTAGATCCACAGTAAAGCAAAAAAAGGAAATACAGATAAATATACAAGTGTTTTTCAAGCTGAAACAGTAACTTACACTGCAAAAAAAAGATTCAAAAAACAAGGTTTCAGAAAACATTTAGATGCAGATAGTTGCCACTAGAAAGCCATGACTTGTTTTTAAGAGTCCTACCTTTTCCCCTGGGAGTCCTTCCAGTCCTGGCAATCCCATTGGTCCTGGGTCTCCCTGATTATTTTTTTTTTTTAATTAAAAAGATTGAATACATTAGAATTTCTGTACTCTACATGAGAAATGTTGAACAACAAGCAACAGCAGACTTTGAGAAAAAATTATTTAACTTGACATTAGTAAAACAGCTAACCAGTTACCAGGTGAACAGATTTTGTTATGCCCTGTTTTAGCGATCTGTAAATTAAGCTTTTCCCAGAGACACTGTGTGAATACTGGATTCAACAGCTTTAATTTTGATGAAGAATGTAATCCAGAAGACTCCCCCACAGTGTTCTTGCAAGCCACAGTCAGCTCTAAAGCACCTCGAGGCAGTAGAGTCCGAACATGTAATCATATACTGTCAACCAGAGAACCAACCTCCAAGGAATTCTGTGCTCTGTTCCCTAAACAAAGCTTATTCTGCAGCAAGGGACACACAGACTAGGACACTGTATAGGCCTTGAAGCTTTTCTGTGGCAAAAACATACTCCAGGGGAGAAATCAGTTTAAAATGTAGATTAGAAGGCTATGAACTATAGTGACAGGGCACAAGCTAATGACAAATACAGTTCCTTTATTTTAAAGCCAAGTTACACACATGTCAAAGACCTTGGGAAAAATGGACACCAGGTCAGGATTTGGATCTACCTTCTGCTGGCAGTTAGCCCTATGCAACTTCTCAAGATTCTTCCACTAGTTGTCATTCCACCCCATAGTTTTTACAGACAGATCACGTGAAAAAGACATAACACAACTCTTACAGGAAAAAAATATCAGAAAGTTAAACTAATCTGCTTTTGAATGCCAAAATGCATATTTGAAGGGTATAGGAGCTCCCATGATCACTATCTTGCTCACCAGAAGCAATGTGAGCATACTGTAGTTAACCATCACGCCATTTACAAATTAAATATTAACTTTTAGTTGTTACTGGCTAGCATGATGTAGCACACTGCTCTTTCTCCCTTATCACTTTCAAATTTATTGTTGAGAACAATCTAATAGCTCTTAAGATATTTTCTACTTTTATTTCACATTCTTTATTCTTAGATATATCCAGGGACAGCTCAGCAGAGATGAATCCACAAGTAGTTAATACTATGTTCAGTCATTCATTATATTATCACTTAGAACTTTTAACCAGAAATTACAAAATTCACAAGCCTGGGAATTAATAGGCTTTTTCAGATGAACTGATTTTGCAGGAGGTAAGCTACCTGCTAAACACTATCAAGGGACTCTTCTACCCTTGTGACTACAATTGTGTTGAATTACTTGGTGAAATCTCTAACATGATCAAAAAATACATACATACCACTGTGCCAGGATCTCCTTTGGGACCCTGCAAATAAATGAAGTGGAAACACAATTAAAAAAACTCAAAAAATTCACACAATATGATGATATTTTTTGGTATTACCTATTAGAAATTATGTTTCTGTTAATACTTACAGGAGGTCCTGGTGGGCCTGGATAACTAGCGACACTCACACCTCCCTGTAACAGCAAGTTTAAAAGTTGAGTTGGGCTAGAATGAGGTATTGATTGAAAAACAAAAATATTAAAGAGAAATACCTGGAGTTTATATAAGCTGCTCATTCCATTTCTTTCATTGTAAGGCATACCCTTTAAAACATAAATACCAGGAAAGCGTCACAACTACGACTTATAAAGAGAGAACTCTTGCCCTGTTCAAGCCCTCTAGCCCAGCAAAGCTGTGGCATCATTTTCATTCTCAAACAACTTTTCAAGGCTTCTAGACACTTCAGCAAGAACATAAGATACATACCAATGCAGCTTGGGCCTTTTTTTTTAATTAAAAAACAAGAAACCTGTAAACTCAGTGTATGTTACACTTTGATATTCTTATTATCCTAATTCTCCAGAACTGATTTTGTGTTAGGTACTATTCCAGTTAATTTGGAGTCCAGGTTGCTCCATGGTTCCCTGAGTTCCCTGATTTCAGGTACCCAAGCTGCATAAATTACTCTAGTAACACTGAGCACCAAGGTTAACTCAACTGACCAAGTTTCTAGGATGGTTTTATTGAACTGAAATTATTCCCTGATGAATCAAAGAAAAAAGAAGATTACAGAAACCTTTTGCAAAAAGACTTGTCTTCCTGCATTATTAATACATATTAGATCGACAGTCAATTCTTTGTATTATGTTACACTTTAACCACAGGTGCATTGTTCCTAATATAACATTCAAAATATAAACAAGAAAATATCTCACCGGAGGCCCAGGTGGTCCAGGTTGCCCAGGAGAACCTTCACTACCCTAGTACAGCAAGAGATTCACGTAACTCATTTACTGTAACTTATGTCCTGATCTATTCCATACCCAAGCTATAACGACCATAATGACAATAAACAAGAGGTACAGTCAATATGAGCAGCTAGTATCACGACTAAATTTTCCTGCCCAGCTCCTGCTTAAGCTTTAGGAAAGTTAGGAATTGTTACTTTAGTTTTTTATTTTGTTAGTTACTTGAAGCTTTATTGTATTAACTTCCTTGTGGCAAAACGGTAGTGGTAACCTGGGTTGTGAAAAATTTCGTAAACACCAGGAGAGAGAGGAAGGGAAAAAGTATCAATTTCTAAGCAACTGGTAGACAAAAGTTAACAGAAATTTTATGTTTTGTCCATTATTTTGCAAAAGCTAGTCTTCAGTTAATCATTCACAGGTAAATACAAAAGAGCTATAGTTTCAGAAGTTCAGTTTATTTAGAACACACTGAATGAAAATAAAGATCTTTATTTAGGTATACAATTAATATATTTCTTGGGGGTTTTATTTTTGAATATTCAACTGTGCATCCACAGTCTGTTCTGCTGATGTGCACTGAACTACTTATATTAAAAAAAAAAAATAAAGCTTTTGAGTTTTTGCCCCAGCAGAATGGTGGAGTTTCTGAACAGTGAAGAGTTGAAAAGGTTTCAACATCAAATTTCCCAATTTTTTTTAAAAGTCTCATCTCTACAATCCAGTTAAAAGCACTGTATAATGTGGAACAAATTTGCCAGAATTTTTCACTGACTTCACTGCATCTTATTAAACATAAGTCAGTGAGATACTCAGGCTGCATATTCAAAATTCTTAGGGTAGCAAAAGGCAAGCTAAATGTTCAATGGCAACAATTAGCTCACTGGAAAAATACACAGAAAAATATAACTGTTTACACAAAGATAATTTCCAAATGGCCCTGCTAACTGATAGAAACTATCAGCCTCCATGGGTGACCTGGAGTACTTCATGGGAAATAAAAATACTCTAATTTAGAGAGCATATTATATGATTTCTCAAACATATTCATCAGATGAAAGAGAAGCAGCAAGCGATTCTGGCTATATTTCAGTTTACTCTTCAGCCATCTAACTTCTGCCCTTTTTGATTTATGAGACACTAGTTATAGAGCAGTGGCTTCTCATTCTCACCTACATGTGAACTGTAAACAAGGAACCACATGGTTACAGAAAAAGGAAATGTGTGGTAAATTTTTCTATTATGGCCGGCAAGGAGACAGCTTTCAATCAGTTTCTATACCAAAATAATTTCAGAGCTTTACAAAATAATTTCCTTTGTTACTCATACCAGAGTCAAGGTTTTGTAGAATATTAGTAGGATCATATATCTTGATGTGACAGTGCTATGCCTGGAAAATTCCAGGCTGAAGTTAAAAAAAAGATCAGAAAAGTGTATTCATATGCAAATCGAGAACTTGTGCCAGAAAATATTTTGCAACAAACTAAGTTTGTGTCTTCTGTATTTCATTTATCTGAGGTGCCCAAGAAACGAATTTGATCTTAGTTATAATCAATAATATCCAGTGCCTGATAAAAGAGCACATAAAACATTGACAAAAAACAGTGCTGTAGGAGTTTAAATTAAGTATAAAGGAAGCTTCTGTATTTTAGCAGAGTAACTTATACTTAATAACTTTCAGTACTTGTGAAGTGCTTTTATGTAATTACTTTTGACTAAAATAGTGGTAAAAGAATTAGAAGAAAAGCGAGTAGTAACTAGTCAATATACTGTTTCACAAATGTATTTTCACTTTCCTAAATTCTATATAGTATGTCATACTTAGAGCACATGCTCTGCAATTTACACACACCACAAGGACTGTGATTCAATATATAAGCCCATAGTACATTTGGGGGGGAAAAGCACTTGCATTAGGACACAAATAAAAATTAATTTGAAAATATACGTCAAGCTCTTGTTTGCACTCTATATTAAAAAAAACCCAAAACATTGGAATATAATGGGATTGCAGAACCTGCATGGATTTTTGCCAAGACTAGAAAGCAGGAATACCTTTTCGCCTTTTGACCCTGCTGGACCGGGATGTCCAGGTCTTCCTGTGACTCCCTGCACAATACAGTATTGGTTTATATTAGTTAAGAAACAATGAAACACAGTATTTTTGCACCAGAGCTTAGTTTTTAAATCTTGTACTCCTTGAAGGTCATTTAAATCGAACTATGCTTCTCCTCCAGGCTTATGTGTTTCTCTTCTGTTTGATACCACAGCTGTATCCTTCCGATTAGCCCTTTGAAGGATAAAACTTGTGTTTACAGTTGCATTTTCACCTTTGCAGACTAAATGCACTACCTTAATGGCACCTTTTAATACTGCTAAGAATCATCTTTTACTGCTAAAATGTCAATTTACATATTGTACACTAAAATTCCTAAATGGGTTACAATTTTTAAAAGAAGGGAAGCATCAGTACCATCAGCAACCTAGAAATTCATAGAATCATAATGATCCTACTAACTAATGTAATCCCATCCAATATGTCAAAAATAAAGTTAAAAAAACCCTCCAAAAGTAGTTTTCCCAGAAATATCAACATTTTTAATTATAGCTTTCAGTGACTTGAAATATTTCCAGTTTATTCTTATACTTCTGCAGTTATGAAACCAAGTGATTACTTGGTTTCAACATTAAATGTTTTCAGAATGCCTAGCTGGAATTATTTTTAGATTTTTATTATTAACAATATTACTGTAACTTGGTAGAAATACATCATTAACTTCAAGTATGCACATCATAAGTCATTTAACCTCAGAGTCTCTAGCAATGCCAACACTCCAAACCCATTTAACTTACATAAACTTTGAGCCCAGACGATGACAGTATTTTCAGTAACATCAACTCACAACATAGTTTCTTTTATTAGAACCACTATGGGCAAGATTGTATTATTACTATCCAAAAAGCCAAAAGACAGGACAAGGAACTAAGAATGTGAAGTTTTACTAGATAGTTACAGAAACCTCTGCAGAGATAGATTAGATCACAGGTGATACCACATACTTACAGAAGGTCCACTGGGTCCTGGAATGCCTGGCAATCCAGGAGCACCTTGAAGGCCCTGGGAATTAAAAGAGCATATGAGTACTTCCTCTCCCACTTACTACCTGGAAACTACTTATATCCAGCATGTTTAGCAGTACCATAAACTACATTAAAGCTCATTTTTATCTAAAAGTTTGGCAGTATTTTTAGGAATGAAAAAAGTCAAACCCACCATGGAAAGAAGAGATTATCATTGAACAAGGCAAGAGGCAACTGCTTGTTTGACTGACAACACTTGTCCTTCAATCTTTCACATTGTTAGCTTATGTCCTCTATATCATTTTGTCTTTAATTGTGCAGAAAATAGCAGGACTAGAGAATAATTTTCTATTTTCTACCACTAAAGTTTTTGTTTTTTTTCTGTTTGTTTTTTTTTTTTCTGGAGAGAAGACAAATGCACAGATTTCTCATTTTTACCTGATGGTATCTAAATGCAAAGGTGCTTTCTGCTCAATTTATAGCTTTTGCTTTTTAGATAGCAGAACATGACATTTTTCATAGTACTTAATGAACTACTTTCCTGATCTTTTTGTATGCAGCTGTCTGAAAATTGATGGATTCTGGTGTCCACTTACTAAATATACAGGTGTGCAGCTTACTACAGTGGATACAGCTAGGATTCGAGACAAGCCTGCATGTCATTTAAGTCTTTCTTCTAAAACACCAGGCTTAGACGCAATTTTAGACAGGTACAGGTCATGTACTAATGAGAGCCAATCACTCTTGGTGACCCCTATAAGTCACAAAGGGAAATTAGTCCCTTCCAAACAGTGGTTCAGTTTATCTGCACAGGGTGCCTACCCTCTGACAAGAGGAGTGACCTCAGAAAAGATCTTTTTCTTATATTAAATGCAGTGTTTAAGAAGGCATGGCTAAAGGGGTAGTCTGGAAAACCAGAGAGGACACAAGTCCTGAAATACTGAGATACTGAAGGAAAAACTTCAGGCAGAAATAAATCAGGAAAGATGCAGAGATGGAGAGAGACATTAATTTCCTTTTCTTGCTGCTACACACAGAGGACACTGGTCCACCTCTGCACCTTTTCAGAGTGGCAATCCAAGTGCTAATGTGTTCTCTGCTCATTTTGATTTACTTAACTGTGATGATACAGTCACCTGAAAAATGAATATGAAGCCAAAGGAACATTTTCTGTAATTCTCACTACTGATGTTAGAAAAATCCTCCCCTGGAGAAAAGAATCTTTTAAAAAGGAAGAGAACTAAGTTTCAACAAAGATTAAAGGGCTATTCAAAAGCACATGGAAGCTAATGAGCGTATTTCAAAGAGTTTCAGGTGGGCTTCACAATCTCTCTTCCCATTTCCATGTTAACTAAATCATAAAAATGAGAATAAAATCCAGAAATTTGTAGAAAAAGGTTGCACTTAAACTTCAGAAACTCTTTCATTTTTTCTGGAAATAAATTCACTTGCACCCTCATAATGTCATAATCAAAAGCTGCTGCTAAACACTGAAAACATCAGACCTAAGGCAGCTAGCCAGCTATCAAACTGAAGAAGCATGTAAATGGGTAACTTACTAACACAGCATGACACACTGCTAAATCAATAATAATAAAAAAAATAATTGGAATTTATTTACTCTGGAGTCCTTTTAAAAAAACTAACTGCCAGTTATAATCATGCCTTTTCCTTATTACATTTTTAATTGCCTTAAGGTTTCACTTGGTTCTCAGCAGTCAAATAGTATCTAAATTGTTGAAACTGCTTTGCTAATGCCTCAGACTTGCTAGGGTTGAACTCTCCAAGTACCATATAGGGCAAATGAAGGATGTGTTACTTTCCTATTTGTTTTTTAAGCAAAATTCTGCTTGTGCTTTACTTGTAGCCTGCACCATCATTTTAAGGTATGTGTTCTAAATCCAACTTCAGGAGTCACTTGCTTTTAAGAAGCAAAGACAGAATGAGCTGTATAGATTGTGTAAAAATAAAAGGAAAAATAAGCCTGACACTTTAGTCTGATAGTCTTCTAAATTCTGGGGCAGAGCAGTAGCAGGAATACCTATTTAAAAGCTTCTGTAGCATCTTTGTTTTTTTCCTCATTTAACTATTTACTTTTGAAAACCAAGGATCCTGAAATTTATTCAAAATTAATATATTTACTTAGATTCATTTCTTTAATAGCTTCTGCTTAGGTGATTTATTTTTATTTATTTATTTATTGACAGAGATTGCTCTTGTTAATTGCAAATATTTCAATTTAAAATTAAAACTACAGCAGCTATTTTGGATTTAGCACCACAAGTGACATAACTTTTTCCCTTCTTCACAACAACATAAAAATAACTCTAAGAATACACCATATGATGGAAAATACTGTAAATATTTTAAATTCAGTCTCTTCAAACATTTTCCAGTTTCCATTTAGTAGTAATTGCTGCTATAACCATTCCCATCAGAGTATTTGCCTAATGGAATGTTTTTGAAAATGAATTCTAAAGGGGAACTAGCACAATATAAGCAAATATGTTACAAAACATGAAGTATTTTCTGAAAACATTTGGCATTTGTCTATTTATTGCTCTATCCTACACTCTTAAAAATTAGCATTTAAATGTATGTGAGGCTTTATAATACACAAATGAGCAAAAACCCTCAGACAAAAATTAAACTGATGTTATTTAATTGAATAATAGCATTTAATCTTGTTGAAAATTCAGAATGTATTTAGAGCAATACATTAGTATCTCGGCAGTTTTAAATAACTGAATAACACTGTGCATTTCACTGTCAGTCTCGATCTTCATTCAGGTTCAGATAAGAATGCAACCATTATAAAAATGAAATAACTTTACCTCATCACCTTTCTCTCCAGCAAGCCCAGGAAACCCACGTTCACCTTTGCTTCCCTATGAAAATGTAACATTCAAACAAATACTTTCTGTTAGCAAACAATGAATTTCATGCTCCCTAGGGCATTTTATGCCCTGCATTTAATACATGAAGCCCTCATAACAATAGTGCTTAAAACAGAAAAAAATGCTCAATACTACCTGAAAGCTTTAAAATATGCCTTCCATCAAGGTGAAAGGCAACATGTGGTTCATTTCCTAATAGGCAAACTAGCCAAGAGCAGACATATAAGTAATAGCAAAGAATTTAAACGCTTCCCAAAACAGAGAACGACACTTCCATGAAATTAGGCTCAACTATAGGAGATACCTATATGCCAAACCATGTGGCACTTGATCCAGTTACAGTGAAGCAGAATTTTGATTGGCATCAGTGAAACTTCAAGTCTCAGAAAAACAGTTGTGCTAATCTCTTTGGAATATGGGGCAAAGGCAAAGGGTGGTCCAGATGTTGCACGCTTGAAGGAGACACAGGTGGTTTTCTTCTTCACTGCAGGATTCTTGCCCGCCTGAGTCACCTAAAATAAGCCTGTAGATGGCAATGCACTAATAAACAGTCAAATCTGAGCTAGCTTTAATGGATGCAAAACAGAGAAAAGCTATCCTGGTGTGGGACTCCATTCAGGCTATTTTGCTCACTTTCCTGAAAGGAAAGCTGAAGTGACATAGGAAGAGGGCTGAACTGTTAAAACAGTCTTTAAGCTGCTCAGGTGCCACAGGGATAGGATTCAGACAAAAAAGTCAAGGCTGTCAGGGGTAAGAGTCTGGCCTTTTACTTTTAATAACTAACAAAGCAATATAAAACACTCTTCAAAACTTACCTTTGGCCCTTCTCTACCAGGGATGCCTGGTGGACCTCTTGTGCCAGGATCACCCTGAGGAACACACAGAAAGCAAAGTGAAAAATAACTATTTTTATGACATAGGCAGAAGGTCTGCAGACCTCCAATCATTCTACCTCAAAGCTTTATCTTCAGTCCTTTATCTCTTCTACACTATACTTGTTCAGATAATCCTTGTTTCCCTCCCCATCTCTCACACACTCAAACTATGCTAACAAATACATTTTGAGAGGACTCACAAATGACTGATTTGAGTAGTCCCAGACATGCCTGTGTTTGGGAAGAGCAAATCCTCTCCCTTTTAAGGATCAGGTAGGATAAGTATACTTGTTGCTCTCACCAGCTTTAAATGTATAGTTACTTTAAAGTAAGTGATATCGGGTTTGTTGAAAGAAGCATTTTGCAGCAAATCTTACAGAGATGCTAACCACAAAACACAGAGTGATGAAGAATGAAGCATAAGGAAAGGAATTGTTAAGAGAGAGTATTGACAAAGATGTAGAAAAGCACATACAGGAGAAAGACAATACATTTACAAAAGAATCAGGGGGAAAAATGAAAGACAAACCTAAACATAAATCAAATTTATGAATGGAAGGTCAATAAAACCTAAGTACATGTATTAACAAAGGATGGTAGAATCGCTTTTCTAGGAAATGATACATGCTATTCATACTGAAATCCTCCTGATATACTTTTCCTTTGGGAATACTGCAGATCACTTCAAATTTTATTATTTTCAAAGTAATACCTTAGAAATTCTAGACTATTTTCCCCACTTGGTGTATTACCAATATTAATGCTTCAAAGTAAAACAAAGAATGAGGTATACCTGTAGTAATTCATATTGTGGATCGGATGTGCTGAACAGGCACCTGTTGGCTACATACCTCATACCTACTACATGGCCTCATGTACCATTCAAATGCTATTTTGTGAAATTCCTATAAAATAAATTTCTTGAGTATTTTTAAAAAAATAAATCAAAAATCAATAAAACCTCACAATTAATTTAGGCTAGCTCAGTAGGTCAAAACTGAACATATCCAAACTTTCAAGTGCATACTCTGGTTTAAAAAGCATGCTTATAGTAAAAAAAAAAATTTATTTATATCTGAAAATGTTTACCTTCAGTATAGCACCCATGTCTCCCACAAGTGGCAGTGCAATCTGAAATTAAAAAAGGAAGCTGCAGTTCATGTTTTATAGAATGCTACCAACTCTGATGGGTTCTCTTTGCTTCTAAAGTTTATACTGTTATACACATAACTGGTTGCATATATACTGGCTGAAGCTTTTTTTTATGCAAATGCAAAAGAAAAATAAGGGTTCCAAATATAGTTAAATATTGCTCTCCATCCAACCTAACAATGTGCACACTTGAAGGAGACACATTCTCATTACAACTTCAATCAACTTCAATCAAGTTCCTTAAAGCATGACAATAGTGCAACTCCAGAACACAGTAAATTTAATTTAGAAGTAGTATTAATATATTACTATGTAGCATACCATCAACAATTTACCACTACTGGGAAGTCTCACAGACTATTCTCACCTGACTATCTTCAAAAGTTCTAATTCTCTTTTCTCCTAGGCTTTGACTCTACTGTGAACTGTAGCACAAAATGGGGAGATGCCAGAGCTAACTTCAATAAACGAACTCAGATATCAGAAAAAATCCAGCTACAGCAACATGTGTAGTGTTTTGTCCCACATTTAAACATTAAGTATGAGTACAAAACTCTGTGGTGCCATAGCTAAATTACTACCAATACTAAAGATAACCTATTTGAAGCTCAATCAACAGATTTACGTTTCACTGCAATATATGTCGGATTTCCAAGAGCTGCCATTAAACTTATATTTAAAGACTTCCTTTAAAAACTGATTGCACTGGGTATCAGCTTCACTCACAAATGGACTCTTCAATTACCAATGTTCATTTCTTCTTGCAAATGGTGAAGCAAAAATAGCCCTGGGCATACTATAAAACTAGACATATCCAAAATCTGTTAATTGTTCAGTCTGTTTCAGTCATTTCCACCTTGAAGAACAAAGTAAAAAGTGAGCACTTTTGTAGCAAATTAAAAAAACCCACTGGACTGCCAGTTGGTGGCAACAGGTATCAAACACAAGGTCAGGAGAAACACTGCTGAACATGCTTAACCATAATTGTAATCAGTTTACCATTTACAGGTAGCATCGGCACCTTTGAAACTATACCAAGTTTTCTAGGGTGAGACAGCCACCTAATACAACTTCAGGACATAACTATGTAAAGGTATGAAGTCCATCCTCTGCATAAAGGTAATCTGTACACAGACAGCATCACCTGCTCTTAAAAACCTGTAACAAGGCTTAAAAATAACAACTACATCTCTATATGGCGTGACTTTTCATCCTTCTCCTTGTGACATTTTACAGATAGGCAGGCTATTACTCTATTCCCTGTTTGGCTTTCTGCTGGACTACATAAATGTTTCCCCAGTCTCTGTTTCTAACATTCTTATTTTAGCTGCAGTACCATTTTATGTTACAGGCTCCCAAGCCCTCAGTGTGAAAAGTCCCTAACATTTAGCTGCAAGGGCACACCATGTATGAGAGCAAGCCTACCACGTTTTTGCCGTACAGTTCATCTGCTCTGTATATACAGCAAGTACAGCATAACTGCACACATACTGCAGATTCGTGGTTGCATATGCTGAACTCTGAGTAAAGGCATATATCAGGGAACACATGAAATAAAATAATATAATAATAATAATTAAGAAAGAAGAATTAGTTGAAGACATTTGATATACAGAATGAAAATCTGATGTAATTATGTATTCTCTGATATATGCTGACCTTCTGAAAGTGTTAAAATGGCCTTAACTCTCTGGCTTACTCTTGCAGGCTACATCTTTCTTTAAAAATGTTCTCTCCAAAGAGAAGAGTATTTGAAGAGAGCAAAAGGCAATAATTCTCCTGTTAGTAGTCCTGCCTGTTTAGCAACGGCATCAGATTATTCACTTACATTTAATTTGCAGTGCACTGTGTCTTCCAAACCTATCCTACTTAAAGGATTTTTTTTCTTATCAAGCACTTTATGCTCATTTTCTCACGTTTAATCTTGTTGACTTCAGACTGTCCCTGAATATTAAGTTTTGATTGTATCTTCAAAAAGCTAGCAATCTTTCCCAGTTCAATTGCAGATTTTACATCTACTTTTCCTAATCAAATCACTGACAAGAACACTGACAAGACCCCTCTTTCCAAAATTGACAGTAATCTGGTGATAGACACTCCTATCATATATTTTGATGAGCATCAACTATATGGCAGTTACTTCAAAAACAGCTTTTGCTTGCTTATCAAAACATCATGAGGACAATCTCAATTTTTTCTTGAGGCCAAGGTATATAACATGACTGCTTCCCTATATTTCTCAAAAAGTTTACCTTCCAAAACCAGAAATCTGCTTTATTCCATGCATGGTTCTTAACAAAACTATGCCATCTTGTGTTTCCACTTTATCATTCATACCCCTGGTACTTAAAATTAAAATATTTCATATCTTTCTTGCAATTAGCCTTTTCTTTTTTTTTTCCCTTTCAAGTGACCCATTATACTCTGGCTCCTCTTCTATTCACCTCTTATGAAGATAAGTTTTCTGTTAGCATCTCTCTCTTTCTCAAAATCTTTCTCAAAGTACTCAAAAGTAACTGCTAATCATTAATAGACCGCTCTGGTTCATTCTTTGGGTGAATAACACCAGATCTTCATGCTGTATCTAAAATATCTTTAACTAATTTTTTTTTATTATTATTACAATTGTTAAAAAAAATCATTTTATGTATTCTCTGAAGAGCAATTAATTTTTTCAGTGTGCTGTAAAAACTACTGAATTGCTCAGCTTCTTCACACAGTTTATAATTTGATATACATGATTATTAAGTAACAGACTTTACCGGTCTTTCAAATTGTATTCATGGTGCCTTTTTCCTGTTATTTTTATACACATTCCTAACTGAAGCTCATTGTATATTTCAATCTTTGCAACACTGACTTGAGTTCTACCTTTATACTCAATGCCAGTGATAGACCAGCTTTCAGGTACTGAATTTAGGCCTTTGAGGAGTTAGTGATACTCAAGTGCTTTCTAAAACATGGGGCCAGAATTTACTTAGTGTTTTTGTTTTCAAACCCAGCCACTTAACTTTCCTAAGTGCTAAGGGGAATTTACTGCATTAGAAACTAAATATTCTCAGAATTTAATTAAAAATTAATGTCTTCTTTCTGCGGCGTAGCAAAATTAGCTTTGGAATCCCAAACTTTCCTTTTCAACATTTTAACAGCAATTATCAAAGTATAATTCTGAAAATTTGCATTATGCAGAAATGTGTCTGAGACGTACAGGATCACCTGGAGGGCCTGGTAGTCCTGGCTTTCCATCTCTTCCTGGAGCACCCTAGAAACAAATATAAAATTTGATGGCCTTAAAGCATTGGCAAGAGACACATTACTTTTCGCAGTATATGTAAAGAACTGTCACTTACATTAATACCAGGGGTACCCGGAGTTCCTGGTAATCCTGGGGGTCCCCTAGGGCCCTAAAAGCAGGAAAGATCATTTAGGATTTAAGAATATTTCTCTTTTATTCTAAACTTCTTGAACTTAATTTATTTTTTGATAATAAAGAAAAAACATATATCCTACCTGCATACCTGCTGATCCAGCTGGACCTACAGGACCCTGCAAGAAAACTCCAAATAATCAATAGTTACACTTTTTCGGATAAGGGAGATTAACACCGTAAAAAAAAAGTACTGAATGTGGGAAACTGGTTCACATTGCAGGGAAGATTTTCTCTAAGTTTGGTTTTGAATCCAAATCTTATTTTGCCAAAATGAGAGAATTTGAGATTTTGCTGAGGTCCATTTCTAAGGGCAAGTAATATCAAAGAATATTGATCTGTGGTGAAACTTGCTATTTAGCTAGGAGTTTTTTAAGATAAGCTGATATTCAGCTGAATAATAATAATTAAAAATATTGTTTGAATACAAATGGATAATTTCAAAAATTCAGGTTTGAAAATATTTTAACTGAATAATTTTTAAGGTTACTATGTTAGATTAAGATCTTATTGTGAACCTCTAGTCAGCTTTATCAAACATCTTCACTCTGTACCTGAGTCCTGCCAATAAACTGAAATGTATCAGCTGACTATATTGGTCTGGACTGCAAAAAGATTGCTGTCCTCACCACAGTAGAACTCACATAATAATATGTAGCACCGGTCATCTAAACCATCAGTATTATAATTTTTTTTACTGAATACTCTGAAGACACTGCAGATGGCTTTATTTAAAGGCAACAGAAACAAACAAACTCGAGAAACTGTGTAACTGAAACAGTTATTGCTATACAAGTTATTCAGTATGAAAGCTCTAGATAGACTGCATCGACTTCATGTTTACATTTAAATTGCACAGAAATGAGAGAAGCAAGCTGTGCGAAATCAGGACTTTACTATTCCCTGGTGCAGTACCTGGCACTGTAAGGTTCTCATTTATAAGTGGTAGAATCTAATCTTGTAATTAGCAGTCATCACAAATGCAAAAGCTAGAAGCTGATGCAAAGCCAAAACCTTCCACCTTTTCGATGTCTTTATGTCTTCCAGTACCAGCATGGATTTCAAAATGCCATTGTCTGCAATGTCAAGTATACCCCTTCTCTTGTACCAGTAATCAGGCTAGATTTTGCTGATAACAGCAAACAACTGTTGCTTAGAAACTGACACAGTCTGAAGATGTGTGAACACCATCCCTAGAAAGCCCATCTGTAGTCAATGACTCTTTCAGTTCTCTAAGGCTTTGATTTCTCACTTAGCTCTAAATGTTTCTGGGTCTAGATAAAGGGAAAAGATGCCGAGTTGAGAGCTGAGTCAGTAGGGAGTTCATGGCATGAATTTTTACTATGCTTTGTTTAATCATTGCAGTTTCTCAGTAATGCACAGTGAGAAGTCAAAATCCTGGGTGTGGATATACTTACTGGTGATCCCTGAATGCCTATTCCAGGGGGCCCCATCTCCCCAGGTGCTCCTTGGACACCAGGTAGTCCTCTTTCTCCCTGAGAAGGGTACAAGGCTTTCAGTTACAAAAGTTCTGAAAATGTAAACTAGCATATTACCTTTTTTGGTTTTCCTTTTTTAGAAACAGAAATAACATATTTATTTGTTATACCTTTGGTCCCCGTGGACCTGGGTTTCCAGGAATACCAGTGGGGCCCTAAAAAAAAAAAAAAATAAAAAAATAATAAAATAAAAACTGCAGGAAAAATAAACAAATTATGTTTTGAAATCAAAGAGACCATCTGAATTTTACTGCCAAAATTAGTCAGCCTTTATAAATAAACTATGAAATATTTAGATTTATTTTCCTCATTAATACCACTGTCACTAGGAGCATGCGTGAGCCTTGCACTATTTCTAGACTACATTTCAGTGCATTTACAACTATCTCTATAATGTGTGTTTCAACTTTGAAAATACATTAAAGAGAAATAATTGTTCTGATTTCTTTCATTGCACAATGAGAATACGCGTGAGCCTTGCACTATTTCTAGACTATATTTCAGCGCATTTACAACTACCACTATAATGTGTGCTTCAACTTTGAAATTATATTAAAGCAAGCTGATCTGATTTCTTTCATTGCACAATGAGAATTCTTAAACAGTTGTCCCTACAAGAAAATGTCATAATAGCCCTTTCAGGTTACGGACTTACTGGTGCTCCAGGCAGACTTGGCCCAGGAGGTCCCACATCACCTTTAGGACCTGGGTGTCCAGGTGGTCCCATAATCCCACCAGGCTCCCCCTACAAGACAAATTTGAATCTCTAATTGAAATGAGAGAATTTCCTCTTATGTAAAACCTCTAAATATTGTCAAGGTTATCCTAGAAAGTACCACTACTGTGGGAAGAAACAGAGAAAAAAAACCCACATATTTCCCTGCCAAAACTTAGAGGAGGCATGGACCACACAACCACTAATAGTAACTAGTATTCTCTCAGTTTTTCTTGCTTGCAGTGCATCTAATCTACATTTCTTTGCCCCCAGGCCCCCACAGATTATCATTAAAGCCTGTCAATTAATTAATAGCAACAGCTTCAGACTCTTTCTTCAGCTATATCTCTCTAGTGCTAAAATCCTGGTCTTCATTGGTATTCCTGTTTGCATCTCTCTTTCTTACTTCAATGCATGCAGCATCTCCTGCTGCTCATCTCTACAACTCCTCCTTCACACAGGTGATTTTGTGCCTTTTATTATGCTGTCCTCTTGTTTTTTGCATGCTCTTGCATCATCCTCTGTGATTCTTTTTGAATACACTATTTCACACTTGCAAGACATTTTGCTCATTGTTCCAGTTATTTTCTTCTCCTGCCTCTTCATCATCTCATTTCTTCAAACTATTAAGGGATTTTATTAGTTTCTCTTGTACCCACAATGTGTAAATACCATAACACATCACACAATATGCCTGTGTACCTGCTTTTCTTCCCTTTTTCTTACATTCAACATATCATATATACAATTTTTAACTCTTGCTGGTGTGGCTGAATTAAAACGAAGGGATTTCTACCCATCAAAAGATAAATTCCATAAAGAGATCTCAGCCTTGGCTCACATCTGAGACAGTATAGCTGCCTCAGTGCTCTGCCAAGATGAATGTGTCTGATTCTGAAGTGGGATTTTACAGAATAGTCTGGTTACAACACTGCACTGAAAAGGCTGTTCTGTGGTTAGGACCTGAACTGACATTTCTACACTTAGAGATTTAAGTAAGAGCCCAGCACAACCTCCTTGAATCTGAATTATGAATCTGAACAGCAACTGGGTTGCCTAACTGGCCTGTAGCATCTCCAAGGAGCAGAGATGGGGTTGCTACTTGAACATTTTAAAATCAGTTCATAAAGCAGCCACACAGATGCGCTACGGAAGATGGAAGGTTACTTCAGAGATGAGAGTCTAATATGCTCTAGCACATCAAGCTTAATAAAAGGCACTTAAAACATACCTTGTCTCCTTTAACACCTGGGCTTCCTGGTACCCCATGTTCTCCTGGTAAGCCCTGGAATTAATAAAAATACAACTATATATTAAATTATTTACTGTGCATTAGTATTGCCCCAAAATGTTAAAAAGTAGAAGTTAATGAATGCTTCTTTAGTCAAATATACGTATCATTTTTCTTTAAGTTGAATAACCAAGATTATTTTCTGGACCCTATCAGGGCAGAATGGCAGAGACTGACACCTTTATTTTTTCAATTTAAAAATAATTACAAGCCTTGAAAATCAACCATTTTTTTTTTCAAGGAAGGTGGTAGCAGGGACAAACTTGAGTTTTAAATAAGTGTGCCATCCTTTTTGCCTGTGAAGGACTATGTGATTTTCTTCACTAGTTATTCAATTTTGTATCTTAAAATCCTCAATGAATTCCTATTCCCGCACATCACTAAATCCACCAAATTCCCTTTCAGCAAAATAAAAATATTCAATCCTTTCTTTTGTCAAGATCTTTATTCTTTCATTTTGATTTTAACTTTAGCATTTTCATGATGGATTTCTTATAAATGCAGATAAGTGAAATAGATTAAAATATAAATAGAAGCTATTTAAATAATAGAGAAGGCTAAATTGTGTTCCCTTACTACAGCATAACAAATGCAGAAAACGTTTTCCATAACCCATCAATGCTATTCAACCAAGTGTTATATCAAGCATTTTATTAAGAATACTAGTCATTTCCACAGTTAATGAGAAAATTGCCAAAACTGAACACTAAAATCTGAGTATGATACTTAATCCAGAAGGGAAAAAGAGCTAATATAAAAAACACATATCACAGTATCACAGTATCACAGTATGTTAGAGATTGGAAGGGACCTCAAAAGATCATCTAGTCCAATCCCCCTGCCGGAGCAGGAACACCTAAATAATGTTACACAGGAATGCGTCCAGGCGGGTTTTGAATGTCTCCAGGGAAGGAGACTCCACAACCTCCCTGGGCAGCCTGTTCCAGTGTTCCGTCACCCTCACTGAGAAGAAGTTTCTTCTCAAGTTTAAGTGGAACCTCTTGTGTTCCAGTTTGTACCCATTACCCCTTGTCCTATGGCTTCTATTTTTCTATGCAGTGTGAAATATAGTTTTGTGAACACTGACATATGAAGGGTGACAACATTTTCATGCCAGTAGTGAAGGCTCAGCAGCTGTGTGTTCACTCGCTCCACTGTATTCTGTCCTTAATACAGACAGCTATTTCTTTTACCCAGCCATCCAAATTAAGAGTATAAGAAAAAAAGAAAACACAAGTACCTTAATGAAGACTATTCTGCTTATATCAAAACACAATCATTATGAGAATATATGGAAGTTTAAATTTACTGATTATGGATCTGACATTGTGTCCTACCTTACCTTATTTTGACAGTGACATAAAATACCTACAGCCTATCTTCTTTCCTAAGGATTTTTCTGATTTTTTTTTTTTTCTTAGACCAAGATTAAAGGATCTCTTTGGAAAGAAGTCCTGTCTGCTGGATGGCTAACCTTTCACAGTTTTCCTCATGCTGCATAAAATGAATTGTATTTGTTAATCCATAATGTTTCATATTTAGAAGGTGAAACAAAACAACAGGCCTGGATCTAAATATATGTTCCTGCAATATATTTAAATACATGTTTTTATATACTAGAATTGTGTGTACAAATATGGATCTTCAAGATCTACATATACATATATACAGTATTTATCTAGTCATAATGTCACTTGGTCAAAGATGCAGCAGAACAGCAGTTTCAAAAGCAGCAATTATGAACTCAAGCAGGATAATGAAAAAACAAGCAAAACATAAATGCAGTATTTTGTTATCTCTCAGAGTAAGATTTGGGATCTATCTATAAACAGAAACAGCAGAAAAGGCTTACAAAATATTGTCATAGAAGACAATATTACAGATATATTAGACACAATTTTAAAAACATGTGCCTCAACTGAGTACGAAAACAAGGTGTGAAGCAATGCTCAGCTTGAATACTAGTTTTTTTCTCTGCCAAGAGTTGAAGATGCTATACTCCAGTTGTCACTGCTTATATCCCTAAGACTTTTAACAGGTCAACAATAAAAATCTGCCAGTTGTACCACTCAGAATTGTATTAATATTAATAATGTATATGATTTAAAAGTCTGTTCAAATTAAAGGTTCTCTTCCACAAAGTAGCCTCAGAGCATGTATGGAAAGGCCTAAGACAATATGCAGCAACACCACCTCCTAGATGCTTCCCTTTCTAGAAAAAAGAGAAACCAAAACCAACCCACAGAGCAAAGATCAAAATCTGATTTCAGTTCAATGGTTTAACTGCTAGACTAAAGCCAAGCTTGCCATTGTCTGCTTCTCTGGTTCACTTCTTAGATCTAACCACTCAAACTTCCAAAATGGTACTTAAAAACTATTTTATGGTTTATGGATGGAGGGAGGTGAACCAGGGAGAGGGAGTAGATGCCACTTGTGAGGTTATGTGACAACACCGGTGTTGTGGACTGAAAGCTTTCAGTTTGCAAGGGGGATTAGGCAGAACATAGTTGCCTGCATACCTAAAAAGGGACTGACCCATAATTTGGAAGGAAGACAGGCAGCTATCTTCCGAAGACCTTCTGCTATATTACAGTATCAAGTCAAATGCCCAGGGAACTTTCAAGCTTAGTATAAGAGTGCCTAATAGTTTAAGATGTTTCCTGGAGTATTCAGACTAGATTGAAGTTTCAACTGTGTTCTTCCTGCTCAGAGGCACAAGGGGTACAGGCACGCTGGATCCTGGGGGAGGCCCCTACTATTTTGAGGGATCCAGACCTGTCAGTCTGCAGCATAATGGTCTTAGGCTCACTAAAACCCTTACGAAGGAGGCCCCTGTCACCTTGACAAACCCAGCCACTTGGTGAATGTGGAGCACCCAAAAGCACAATAACTGCAGGATCATTAAAACTCTGCTGAGCACCCTCCACTTCCTTGAAAATCCCAATTGATGGGTCAAGAAACCATCTGTATCCTGCTTCTGACACCGTCTGACAACGTTTAGTGGATCTCAATATTGGGGTGTATTTAAGAAGCACTAAAGTGAGAGCTTTTACTCTTCTTGATTATCTCTCTCTCATTCCCCTGTTAGCATTGTGTTCATTGGATCATGACTTCCCTTTCCATCAGGGAGACTGTTGCTTACTTGGGATGAGTGGGCATCAAGTTGTCTTGGTTTGTGTTGTATTTTAGTAATTTACTTTACTGAACAGTAATTAAAAAACAAATTTTCTATTAAATTCTTTTCACACAATGCTACTCCTGCCAAAGACTTTAATATTGTCCCTAGTTTTAGCAGAATTATATCTTGTTCTGAATATGAGTTTTGCTTGTAAACCTGACCTAAATTATAAGATAATAAACATAATTGTTTATCCTTTTCACCTTATTAATCTTTACCTCTTTTATAGGAAGTAAACCAATTCAGAATAATACAAAACCATAGGCAGAAATAAGGAAGGTCATGGGTTTAAATCCTTGGGGTACACTTACTTTCCCCGTTTCTTCACATTTCACTCCACACAAACTATCCTTTCCAGCTCATGATGTAACATTATTAAATCTTTGCTAGAGATGTTTTTAAACTTTCACCTACTGCTCTGAGATCAGAGTAATTTTTGCAGAGCTAATTATCTTTGAATCAGATAAATTAGTATTATCATTCTTACCTGCTCAGATAGTAACACAAGGAGAAAGAGAACAAAAGAAAAGGGCAGAACTGTATCCTGCGGTATCCCATACTACTGTGCTTCCATATATAATTGCCTCAGTAGCACTCACAAAAGGAGCACCTATGATAACTTCCAAGGTACTGCTTCACTGGCTAACAGCTCACACACTACATTTCTACAGCTTGGTGAAACTGCTCAATACATACAACTTCTCCTGGCAGTCCCCTAGGTCCGACAGGTCCTGGAGGTCCTTGTAGCCCCTGTGAAATAACACATGCTTGAGGTAAAAGTCAACACAACCACTGTAGTTCAGTGTAAAGTGTTCTCATATATAAATAGATGACAACATCTGGCATTAATAACTGTCTTCTGCATAGAGTAAGAAGTACAGAGTTTGCTCATTCTCCCTTAATCTAATGTTTAGTCCAATAAATCTTTGGGACTGATAAATACAAAATCCAAAATATGCATACAAATCAAATACAAGTAATACAAAGGAACTGTCTAAAGGGAAAGACAAAAGAAAAGGAGTAAATCAAGATTTCCTCCCATAAGGGACAGATGTAGACATGATTTTTTTTTAACTACTTTGTTGGTGTTACTTCTCTTTTTGGAATACTTCTCATTAGAAGGACTCCAGAGCACTGGAAAGAAAAGGGGATTGAGATGTAGAGATAGAAGGATGACTTGGTGCAAACCCTAATGATCCTTGGGTCTCTATGAGCCTCTTCTTGAAGTTGTACATTGTGAAGATGACCTTGGTTTTCACTGCAGTTACAACCAGTATTTCAGTAGCTCCTACCAAGGACATTAGCCTCCAAAGAGCAGTCTAAGGAATTAGGAGTGGAAAATCATTTTTAAGACCACAGTTTTGTGGACCCTGTAGCTGCATCTGTTAATTCCTGGACTTCATTTGATGATCTCAGGAACTCAAGTACTATGATTTCAACAGGAATACTGTTGGGTGGAGGTTATATTTTCCCTGTTTCCAGTTCTAGCATTATTTGAGAAAATTCAAGGCATCATGTGAAACTCTCAAAGAACATTTCTTCTTCAGTTGTTTTCTTCAAAGCAAGGCAATGACTACTTTGGCATTACCTGCAATACTATAGGATTAAACACAAGAACCACTAATGAATTGGCAGTGGTTACTCACTGGTGGATAACGAATACACCCAGCTACTGGTGGATTTGTAATTGCAAAATGGATGCTCATATTATTGAATGATCAAATAACATTTAGGCTTTGCATAAATATTTCTTGCTGAGTTATCCTGAGATCAACAAGAATTTTATGAACTAAAAGCAAAAAAGCCATAATCCATGCACTAAATTTTGATGTAACTATAAGCACTCTCTGCCCTTTAATACTAGCTAAAGAATTGACAGCATTCATCTACGTAGCTTATATTACAGCACAGAATGCAATGTCTGTTAATTCCACAAATATACCTTTTGCCTACCTTAGATCCTGGATTTCCAATCAGACCAGGTGGTCCTGGGTCTCCTGTTTCACCCTAATGATATTGTTTGAGAAAATAAAAATATCCAAATTTACTGTTACGTCTCCCAGTACACCTCTGCACACCAGTGATGTATATATAGTGTGTATAGGTCAAAACATACCTTACTTCCTTTTGATCCTTTCATTCCAGTTTCTCCCTGAAAACAGTAGGTATAACCGTAAGAAGTTAAAACTTTAACTAAGACCAACTATGAGTTTAATTTGCTACCTTAAAATATTGTAACGTAGTTGGTAAACTTAACAAATATTGAGAAAATATTAAAGAATTTCTGATGTCTTGAATAAACTCTGAATGGCATTCCTGTTTCAAACTAATTCTGTTTGCAGGTTTTCCTAGTGTTTTAAAGAAGAAATGTTCAAAAACATCGCATTTGCTTAAAAGCTTCTCCAGTCTAAAGCCTATTCTTCACCACTAAATCTCCACTGGTGAGACAGTATTAATCTCCAAAACCACACATTATTACAGTATGCCTCATTTTGGTTATTATAATATGTTAATCTGAAGTATCTGAGCAGCCTTCAGTTGTGTATTAAACAGCATAAGTAGCTGTTGTCAAATGTTCTAATTAATGTCAATTAATTGTCAAATGTTCTAATTAATTTTAATTAAAAATAAGCAACACATTTAAACAGACTCTTACAGAATGAGTGTTCTGAAAATATCCCCCAAAATAACAAAAAAAATTAAAAATGCACACATAAGATGGCCATAAGAAAACTACCTGATATTAAATGCCACGCTGGAAACTGGTAAAACGATTAACATAGAAGAATTCAGCCCACCTATAATTTTGTGAAATAACTGAAAGAATGAACCTTCAGGGAACTAAAAAAAGCATGTCATTTAAACTCAGTTCATGGACTGTTCCAACTACAGAAATGCTGAAGAACAGGGCATCTCTGTTTTTTATTTATAACCTGCATGAACCTGATGCAGGTTTAAGAAGGAAACAATACATATGGTACCCTCCATAATCACTGAATTTAATAAAAGTGTACAAAGAAAAGAATTACAGCGTGAATAGAGTATGGAAAAAATATCAAATGTAAATTATTCATATCATGATTTCAGAACATAGCTATACTCACTGGATCTCCCTTTTCCCCTTTTTCAGAAGGCTCTCCCTATGGAAACATAAAGAAGAGGTTAAAACAAATTTATTTCAAATGGCAAATAGCACATATGTCTGGTTTTTGTAAAGTCCTTGAAAAATGTTGTTTTTTTTTTTAAACCTATATAAAACATAAGTATATGGATTACAAAAGTTTACTTGAGAGATGATGTTGACTTAATGACAAGACCATGACACGTGTGATCCTTTTAAGCAAGGAGCAGAAGGGAGGGTCAAGAACATGAACTAAAGACTGGCAATAAATACAAATCTGACAAATTCTCAAACACAAGTACTTTATAACACACAAAATTATGAATCTGTCATATTGATAGAGTACAAAAAAGTTTCTGCCTGCATGAAAACTATTTAGACACAAGGAAATGACCAAAGAAAACAAATGGAAGCTTAACAGCTGAACAGCAAAATGCTCATTATTCAGTGGATAAAAAACTTGTGTATATCACATGTTCCTAGAAAAATACAATACATTCCTATTCCTCAGTAACATTCCCCACCCCAAGTCTTTCTGAGAAATTTAAGCTTAAATAAAAAAAAAAATCAAATGAGGGAATTTATTTATAAATTTTAATAGTTTAGACTCTGTTTCTTCGTAAAGATATTGGAGATTTCATTGTAACTTGAAAAAATACGAATGGTGTCTAATTCATGAAACAATCACTGATCACAAACTTATATAAACATAATCTTAAACTGGTATTCAGTCAAAGTTTGAGTATGGTTGATGTTAAGGACTTTATGAACTGTTGGGACAGGTAAATTTACTTGTAGACATAAAGAGTCTCTCAAGAATGGGCTTAAGTAAATTACTAAGGACATTCAGAGACTGACAGCTATGCCTAAATGTATTTTTTTTTTATTCTGAGTATATTTTCCAAGATTTGATTAATCAAATTAATTGATTCAGCCACCTTCTAGCACCACACAAGCACAGAAGCAAGGAATTAATTTACCTTTTCTCCTTTAGCACCGGTCATTCCCAATTCTCCTTTTTGACCCTTTTAACAAAATAAATTATATTTTAAACATTTTATATTCTAAAAAATGCAAATAAACTTCTCTCAAATGTACTTTGTTCTGTGTAGAGCACAAAATGATAACTTTTATTGCAATGGAAATCTGTGCTTTAAACATCATATTAATTGAAATGACTGCCATCTACAGCAGAGCTTCAGGCTTCTCGATAGAAAATGTTGTCAATCCTGTCACATAGACAGAGCACTAGACAGAGCACTTTCCTCTCTTCTTCCAAGTTTGAAAAATGTCCAATTGTTAAGAATTCATTCCACTGTTTAAACAGGACAGATGCCTACAAACAATATATTGCCTTATGGTGTAGATTCAGAATTTGACCACAAAATTTTTAGAGGCTGATTTTAAGTATTTTTGGTATAGCAAGTCCCATTGTTATAGAGAAACTGCTTTAAATATTCACCACTTAGTAGTAAAGGATTTTCTGAATTTCAACTTTTGCAGTCCTTTTCCCCATAACCAGCTGGCCACCTCATTTGACTTGTCCTCAGAGAGCGATGCAGAAACCACACTTACTCCTGAATTTTCCCTTTCTGGTTATCGTATATTACAGAAGAAAGGCTTATGTGCTGCACATGCAGGACAACAAGGTGAGTCCAGTATTGGAATATAGAGTTTAAAGAGCTAGTCATATCTAAACATTATTCTTTCAAAGACCATTGTGATAAAGCAAATCAAACATACTGTGTTAAGGGTGTCAGGTTAGATAGACACTTAGAAATTTCTCCAATTTAATCTGAAATCCTTACAATGTCTCCCTTCAGGCCTTTAAGTCCAGGAGTCCCAAGTAATCCTAGTAGTCTTGTATCGCTCTGGGAAGAAATATCACCAAAACCATCATGTAACAGGACATGTCACCACTTATTCACAGTAACAATGTATTTACAATAACAATTTAATGTAATTTACTAGTATGTAAATTCACAAGTCCTAATTTACTATTAGAAATGGGTACTAAATGCCTATATAGTACATCTAATTAATGTACCGCAGCAACACATCCTTTGTCATGCATTCATATTCCAGTCAGACTAGCAGAATATGAACAAAAGCATAAAAGGGAAATGTCTATGTTGAATGCTGTTATACAAATCTGGGTGTTGGTTTTTTTAACTCAGTGCAAAGAACTTATGCTCCTTATTACAGTACATTTCTCAAGTATGTTAGAAAAGAACAATAAAAATTATTTCTATGACAAAACCACAAGCTTGAGCAGCATGAAATGTCAAATTGAATTAATTTAGCCTAGTACTGTAGTGAGACAGAAGGAGAGGGAATAATATAATCAAAAGGCTCCTCACTGCTCCTCAAAGAAAACTGACAGATTTAAGGACCAGGGGTTCAGCCTGTATACTTGCTCAGGTATTATTGCACCACATTTATTTACTCTTCTGTACAAGGTAAAGACACAATAAAATACAAACCAAATGGTTTCCTCTGCACAAAGCCAGGTTCAGACTGCCTAAAGGGAACATGTTCTCTTTTATTGACAATGGAAAAAGCATCAAAACCAATGACCCTGAAAAATGAGCTCAAGTCTGGATACAAGGAGGTCAAGTCCTATAACATCTACCACTGGGCTGAATGGGAACCCTGAGCAAGCCAACTTCCCCTGCCATGTTCCAGACATATGTATGTATGGATATGTATGTCCGTATGTATGTATCCAAACATATCTCTAAAACGGGAAAACATCATGATGAGTAAAAGTGGCATTTACACTCTGTTAATGTTTACAGAAGTTGATAGCTGAATATAACCTAAATAAAATTTGCAGTTCTTTTCCACATGTTAATGTCCTGAAGGATCTTCATTGGTGTTTAAGGTTCTCAAAAGAGTTACTACCCTAATTATCAAAATAGGCCCAAGAGGAAGATGCCCAAAGAAGGGAACCTGAGGAATGGAGGAAAAGATAAAAAAGGGTATTAGATCAAATAACTACTTTTATGCTCTTCGCATATTTATAGGTCATTTGCTCTTTATAACAAAATGTAAGTAAAATATGCCTATGGAAAAAAATCTTAGAAAAGTAATAATGAATTATTCAATAATAAGCTATAATTATAATGAGTTATAATGATTTGGAAACATCTCCTGAGCAGATCCTGATGTAGTTTCAACTGCTTTTTTCTGTGGTTTCATTTCTATTTTTATGTGTTGGGATAACATTTTAGATTCAACTGACCTGTATGCCCTTTCCAAAGATGCGTAAAAGCAGGTTTGACTGAAATAATCTTCTACGTACAGAAAACTGGTAAGTGAAAAAGATGACAAGCAGATGCCTTGAAAACCCAGGCAAAGGATGGTAACAGAGGTCTGAGAGTGTATCAACACTAGTCATGAGACCTCATTTACCAGTCACTGAAGGAAGCTAACCTACAGCGAAGGGCAGAATCAGCTTCTTGGCATAATGAAGAGAACAAAATGCATGTTTAGAACACAACAAAGCATCTCATTTACACTGAAACCACAAAAGACATAAATGAAGGAATGTAAAAATAGCCATGCCTTGCAAGAACAGGCACAAAGCATGAACGATGAAGGAAGGAATGCTCCAGCACTGTCTCCCACCCCATTAAGGATCAATGCTACTATTTATCTTCAGCAGGTTCCCCTCACCTTCATTAAAGGAAGACTGCTGATCTTAGTTTGCCATTCAGCACAATTTGCTACCACAATCAGCAATTGTATTTATAGTGCTCTCTTTTCACTGTACACATGGATCAAGTAAATTATGCTTTTAAAGACTTGCACTCCAGCCTCCTTACATGATAAGGGGATTGATACTGAGCCAGAAAAAGCTTGGTTGCAAGAAATTATTTAAACACATTGTGCAATTACAACTACTCATAGATGCCATACAGAAGTCAGAAGAATCTAATCTGCTAAGAAACTGAGAAATTATAGAAAAAAAGACATTACTAATCATGAGTCTTAAGAGCTCTCTCACTGATCCCCCACATTTTTTTGGTAGCAGTTTCCCATGATTTCTAGAAAACCAACCCAAAGAAGCCATCCTAATATCCGGGGGTGTGTGTGTGTGTGTGTGTGTGTGTGTGTGTATAAATAAATTACACCACAAATGTGGTCACAATTTAAACACTTTAACACTTTAAAAATCCAAACTCAAAGAAGACTTTGTGAGATCCTTAAGAACATGCATAAAATGTAAAATGTCAAGACCATTTCCTGTGGTGTAAGGTGTCTCAAAAACCTCAGAATATCACTGAGCTGTCATCTTACAAATGCAAGTAATTGAGGCATACTGCAAATTATACACTGGAATGTGAAAGACTGCTTGGTACCTCCAAGATACAGTGAACAATATCAGCCCTCATCATATCACACAATAGTGGGGGCACAGGGGGGGGGAGGAAGGAAAGTTCTTGGTACACAGATCTGCTTAATTGAATTATCAATAGCAAAGCAGACAAGCTGTCCTTCCCTTTGATGACCTCTTTGATGTCTTTGTCTTGTCCTTGATGGGAATATCCCATCATAAACTATATATTGCTGTAGCAGTTGGAGACTTAAAAGTTGACTCTGGGAAGATCTGAACATGTAGCTACAGGAAGTTTGTGTGTTTAAAACCTGCTACTCAGATCAGAAAGCCATCTCCTCTCTCGTTTGAAACCAAAGAGTATTTCCTTGTTGAACAGTTAATTGCTCATGACAGAGTCATTAAAATCTTCAATCTAGACAGCTGAAGGAAGAAGAAAGTTGGTAAGCTGCACAGAGTTTAAAAGATTAATTTATAGACACAGAGCAGCTGGCCCACATTTTTTCCAGAATATTGCTAATTAGTAAATATAACCTTAGGAATCTTAGAACCTTACAGTGATAAGAAACATGATTTTTGGTGACAGATGCCTGCCAGTTCCCGAAGATCACAACTTGTTTGTATTTCTTTCTACAGAATTAACCTTAAAGGGATAAAGAGATTAATGATCAGGAGGCAGGGAATGAGTTACAATAAATATGATATTGATAGAGGAAATGGGACTGGTATCATTGAAAGCTATCTTTGGCAGAAAAAAGAAACTGGTAAGAAAATGAAACGTATAAACAATCTAAAATACAAAAAAACTTCAACACACATATATGAAATGGCAGATCAAACTCAGAAACTAAGTCTCCAGCTATGAAAAAGTCTCTGTCCAGGACAGCATATAAACTATGCTTAATTCCTAATGCATATTTTAAGGTGATTCACAGATTTGGAATGGATTAAATATTAGAGAAATCACTGCACTTCTAAAAGTAACTGGAAAGATATGTTTGACATGAAATTCGCTCCAGATTCCCTATTCAAAAAAAGATTTTAGTACTCATTTGTGTATGTTGTATAAGAAAAATATCAGAAATTCACCTGCTCCTTGTAGTTATGCATTTTAATACTAAAAGGATGTCTTCCAGGTTTGACTTGCATGATGATGAACACGACTTGCATGATGATGACATGTGATGAACACAGTAATTTTTATATTTAGCAACTATTACTGTAATAGTGCTTCATCAGTCTTTGAATGAAATTTAATTTTCTAATCAGGTAAGTTACATTCTAAGAAAACTTGTGTTTTCTCTGAATTAAGATCCCTTACAATGGCAGACACTACCACTGCTTAAATGATTTGAAAAAACTGTGATGTTAATGTAAAAGCTCTGCCACGTGGAAAGATGTCCTACTCAATTTTAACTTTTTTCTATTAAGTGCTTGTAGCTGCAGGATGTTCTATAATGAAGACAATATTTTGTTAAGTCTATAATACAAACATCAGGACAATTCTCATGGATTGCTAGCAGATCTTTTAAAATTATGCCTCCTTGTCTTTCTATTCTACTTTTATGATCATAACAGAGTAGGTCAAGAAAGAAGAAATGTCGGTTTAGACATTTAAATATCTAAATGTTATTCAGACATAGAGGAAAAATATGGTTAGAGCAATTAGGTTTAGAAATGGGAAGCTGGTACTGTTATGCTAACAGCTAGGTGGTCCACCAATCTCCTTTTTGAGTCATATACAAGCAAAAATACATGAGAAGAAGATGGATGGGATGCAAGCCACATGTCAGCAGGATATATGACACAGTAGGTATGTGACTGGAGGGTAAACTGAGCCTTTGAAGGATGCAGAAAGAGGACAGGGAAGGATCTACCATTTGAATTAATTTGGAATGTGGTTCACAGGGATCAAAACTGTCATCATTTCTATGTTAGACACTTCCTAGCCATAAACACACACACACACACACACACACTATAAAATCTCCATACCTCATTATAATGCTTGTTCAGTGAATCCAGAATTCCTTTTAGTCCAGAAGGACCCTATATGGAAAACAAAACAAAATTAAAAAAAAAAAAAGAAAAAAAAAGAAAAAAGCAGAAAGAAAGAAAGCAACTGAAGGTCATTTTAATTTAACATTTTATTTAACTAATGCTATATTGTAAGAGCAGTGGTCATGTAAAAGGGTTTTGATTTTTATTTTACTATACAATAAATCATTTTCTGTAAGTTCATTATATCTTCTTTTTTTTTCAGGTACAGAGGAGAAGGAGAGCCAGTTTCTAAATCCCTGAGTTTTGAACACTGGCAGCTTCTTTTGGATTGAATCAGTCTGTTAGAGAAAATGAGGGACTCTTCATTAGGGACTGTAGTGACAGGACAAGGGGTAACAGATTAAAACTTAAACAGGGGAAGTTTAGATTGGATATAAGGAAGAAATTCTTTACTGTGAGGGTGGTGAGGCACTGGAATGGGTTGCCCAAGGAAGTTGTGAATGCTCTATCCCTGGCGATGTTCAAGGCCGGGTTGGACAGAACCTTGGGTGACATGGTTTAGTGTGAGGTGTCCCTGCCTGTGGCAGGGGGTTTGGAACCAGATGATCTTAAGGTCCTTTCCAATCCTAACTATTCTATGATCCTATGATTCTATAACATTACTGCAGCACACCAGAACAACAGGTGTGTTGAGATATCATCATTAAATTATGAAACATCATCCTATGCATTTTACTGTGATTAAAATTTTACAGAAAGATAGTGGTACTTAAAATATTAGGATACATTAGGAAAATTTAGAACCATCATAGGTGCCTTACTCCCTCTCTGTTCCCCAGTATCAGCAGAGATACAATGCCATAATTTTTTTCATTTTATTTCAGAAGTGAATTGTCACTTCAAATTTATGTTGCAAAATAAGATATAGTCATAACATTTTGCCTAAGATGCTTACTCAGCTCTGATTTCTGAAGTTAATGGCAGAACTTTCACTTTTGACAGTGCCTACTTATTAGATACCTCAACGCCAACTCTCTAATCCCATATCTTCAAATCCTTGAATCCAGAATCATTGCAGGACTTTCTAAGCCTGCAGGCAGTCAAAAAAGACAATTCTTTCCTCCTTCTTGTTTCCCACCATGTTGTTTCCTTTACTGTTTTTCTATAAATGAAACTGCTGCAACCATATAACCCAGAAAGGACTGAATGCTGTTTCTGCCACCAATCCCAGCCTCTCAGATATTTTTGACAAACTGGAAAGCCTTTGTACATGTAACGGTTTTGAAACATAATCTCAAAACCCCACAGAACTGCCTCATGACTTAGGCAGTCAAGGGAACTTAAGGCATTTGTGTTGCATTCTTGACGGCCACAGCCTTTTGTTACCAGAGGTAAAACACTTCCTCTGGTTTTAGTCTTTCCATTTTCAATATCTGACATACATTTAATAATTTTATCTTTATATAGTCTTCCTAAAATAAAATTAATAAAACCAGTGTACAACAACAGAAAATACTTTTATTCAAGGGTGTTTTCCTAAACTCTAGTCTTTCTTCCCATCCATGCTGTTTCTCTCCGCTAAGATAGATGCATACATGATCCACTCAAATGTCTCTACAGACAATAAGGAATCAGTAGTATTGGCTTGCAAGTGAATAAGCAATAAAATTAACAGGAGTTTAAGAATTATTTTACAGGCAATTTCTAGCTTTGGAATGAGAATTTTGCACATCTGCCACTTCGAAGCTCACTTGCGTGGGGTTTCCTTTTTATATTTTAGTATCAAGTTGTGTAATTGAGGGAAATGAAAAACACAAAGTGTACAATTGTACAAATAAGAATTGAAATGTATCCTGATTGTTTTCCAAAATTAAAAACAGATTTTGGATATTATTTCTATAGACAAGGCAGGAATAAAAGCACAGGTGCTTAAAAGGAAATAGCTTCAAACTGTGAAATTTCTGAGGTTTGTATTTTTCTCTGTTAACTTTTACAGTTAATCTGCATTGCTGTAAAGATGAGACTGCTGAAAAAGTCTACTCAATCTCACAGTCCATGCAGTAAACTGTATAACAACTAAATTGCACTGGTTGCATATCAAGAACAAACTATTTTGGAGAACACAGCCCTGCAAGTGACTAACTGTAATCATTTTATCCATCTATTTCAAATGTGTGCCTGTCCATTAAAATAAAATACTGTTTGTCTGATCACTATAACATAAATAATCATGAAACTCATCAGTGCAGATGTGCAGTATTGTATAACTATTCCAAAGAGAAAACAGAAAGAATGATGAAGGCATGATGTCTACCAGGATAGAATACGTGTAATAAATTACATTTTGATATGGATTTTAAAAACTTAAATGCATAGAAATAAGCAATATGACCAACCCTTGCCAGCCATTCCCATCTTACTGTGTAAGCATTTCCAATATTGTTCTAAAAAGCAGCTAAAAGTCCAGAAATACCATAAATGCTACTGACAATTTTCACTTATCATTGCTTTAATTTTCTGTTTATTGTAATTAACTGATAACAATCATTCCCTTTCAAAATATTGGTAGAGAAATGAGTATTTTCCGAGGCAATGGAAATGAAATTTCTAAGGCAAACTGCTGGCTACTTAAGATAACTAGTTTGGTGGCATTGACAAACATACTGAATAACAAGAAACCAAAAGTGTATGGAATTAAATGAAGAAATTTATTCACAGAAGTAGTCTGTGAACTTCTCCACTGCCTCACATGCAAACAAAATTGAAACCCTATTTTAATTTAAGACTTTGAGGAGTAACAAAGCTAATCTTCCTAGCAAAATAGTTGTGAAGATAAAAGATACCAAGTTCAGCCCCTTGTGAAGGTAAATAATAAACTGAATGATAGCTCCAAAGACTACAGAAATCATGAAATAAATGTACCCTGGTTGCAAAGAACAACTTTGGATATACCGGTAGAGAACAGCACACTTAAGAGGACAAATAATCCTGATTGCAGTGTACTAGGCTGTGATTTAGCATTCCCAAAATTTCTTTCCCGCCTCTGCCACAGACAGCTTCTTAGCCAAATGGCACTTGGCACTTGACCAAACCAGGTAGTCCTGATGTTTCCTACTGTCCTGTAGATATAATTGCTATGTCCTGTAGATATTTCTGTTAGCAGTATCGGCAGAATAAAGCTGTCAGTTCTGTTCTGAAGCCAGATCAAAATGGTATACTTACAACCTCACAGCATTCTACTATCACAGTATTTCCTTTTGTTTCACAAAGCCAGCATTTCAATTTCAGTGAAGAGCCACGCCAAGCAGGAAAACAGCATGTGAAAGAGACAGTATCTTTTTCAGAAGACTTTAGAAGAAAATGCTAGTGAGAAAATATATGAAATAAATTTGAAGGGTACAGAGATTTTGATTTCACAATCGTAATTTTCAGAATGCTTCTGAGAGTGAAATTAATATTGTATTTAACAGTTTTAAATTGCTCTCCAGGCTCTTTAAAAGGGGAGAAGGGATCAAAAAGCACTAGAGGGAGCTGCTGTTCTACCTAACCCATTTGGATTCCTCGTTTTCAGCATAAATTGTTACCTGCTGGAGTTAGACAAGTGCAAGCACACATTTTGTATAGAAATAACAGAACTGTACTCAAAACTAACATCAGACAGCAAGGATGCAAACCATGAATTCTGAACCAGAAGGGAATAACAGAACACTTTGAAAGACTGCAACATTTAATAAACTTTAAAAAATACTCAAAGGAGGAACATCATCTGCATAGATGAAAATTTTTTTATAACCCATCAATAAAAATCCTCATTGACCCCTTGCTTTTTATAGGCACAGGATTTGCTCCAAAGGGAAAAAATGACATAAAAGAATGGATAAGAGAAAAATGACACAAAAGAGTGGATACCTGGTACAAAAGATGGAGTCCCATTTCAACCAAGTAGTTTCATCACCAGTTGCCCAATCTATCTGTATTTCTAATACTGACATAGGTAGTTAACCAAAGATGTGAGATTGTTAGCAAATGATGTTTAGGGACTAAAAAGTCACTACAAACATCAATTTTACTGGAAGTAAAAAAAAAATATCCCCCAGAAATTAGCTTAGGAAAAAAAAAAAAAAGAAAAAAAGGTATGAGGTATTGAAAAAGGGTTAGAAAATAGGTAAAAAATGATTACTTTAAGCAAAACTCATACCATTTAGTAGTGTCCAGTTGTTCTTTTTGACTGTTAGAATGTGGTATCTCTCCCTGCACCCACTTTTTCTTGGAATATGATTTATACCAAACCTCTGGGCATTGTACCCTCTTTACGAACTTGCTCCTCATGGAGGCAGATCTTTCCTTCTCTTAGGTTTTTTTTTGTCCTTACTGAACAGCTGGCTGCTCTAATTTTTAAATTAAGTATTTAATGCCATGGCAGAGTTTGATTAATAAATTAGGTAAATTTATTAATTTCAAACATGCAGTGTGTACTGTAGCTACCCTAAAAACTGACTGAATATCTTTTTCTCAAATTCAAATTCGAGGGCCATGAGGATGATCAGGGGGCTGGAGCACCTCCCATACGAAGATAGGCTTGAGAAAGTTGGGGCTGTTCAGCCTGGAGAAGAGAAGGCTGCGTGGGGACCTCATTGCAGCCTTCCAGTATCTGAAGGGGGCCTATAGGGATGCTGGGGAAGGACTCATCATTAGGGACTGTAGTAACAGGACAAGGCATAATGGATTCAAACTTAAAACAGGGGAAGTTTAGATTGGATATAAGGAAGAAGTTCTTTCCTGTTAGGGTGGTGAGGCACTAGAATGGGTTGCCCAGGGAGGTTGTGAATGCTCGATCCATGGCGGTGTTCAAGGCCAGGTTGGGCGAAGCCTTGGGTGACATGGTTTAGTGTGAGGTGTCCCTGCCCATGGCAGGGGGGCTGGAACTAGATGATCTTAAGGTCCTTTAAAATCCTAACTATTCTATGATTCTACTCTTTCAAAACATCAACCAAATACCAAACTTACTTTGTTGAAAAGTCTAATTTTTCCATGTTCAGTCAATCTCTTAAGCATTTTGTACCCTGCATATGCCAAACTTCTTAAAGCAACCTCCCTGCAGGTATGATACTCTGTTGCACTTTGGAAAGGCCAAAGTAAAGGCCAACAATATATCCATGTGCATGAGAAAGCTGCCACTACTTAATATTGGAAGAGGTAACTAGAAGCACAATATAGCCTTGAAAAAGAGATGAGGAATGATAGACCATGTCAATGTCTTTTTTTTGTATGTACAGGCTGTAGCAATTTAAACATGCTACATGTTTACGTGCACATTAGCAGGCATTACTGCTTCTAGAGCATGCTTTTTCTATGCCTTATATGTTCAGTCTTGGAAGATGAACACAAGATGCTGGTATAGCTGTATCCAAAGGACTGCATTAAGATAGTCAGAAACAAATACTTTTAACCAATATTTAGGCTGTGGCTGCAGTGCTAGGCTATGGCACTCATACAGAGCTCCCTTGTATGAATGCTGCTATGCTGACAAAGTTGAGCTTTCTATTTGCTGTAAAAACAATATGAACTAGGTCTCAGTAATTAAAGTGCAATTTAGTTTTTACTAAAGATTTCTGTTATATCTGCCAAGGATCATATATCTTCACAAGCCTGGCCTGCCAGCAAAACTGTGATGGCAGAAATCTGTAATGGAGAAACAGCTTTTCACTGGCTCACAAAAAGCTATGTAGATTAGGTGCAACACTGGCCTCTGCCACGGTTTGCCTTTTTAATTTTTCTTTTTTTTTTTTTTCATTTGTTTTATAAAAGATTCTGCATCACTCCTTTCCTCTGCTCAGACTTGTGCAGACTACAGTACTATTTCAATATTAGGAAGCCCAAACTGTACAAAAGATTCAAATGAGCAAGACTTCAATATGACATGTAGGGGAGACATGTAGGGGAGAAGAGGAATGAATTTTAAACTCTTTAGTTTTATACAGGATAACTGAACTCCATCATTAACTCCTCTTTCTGAATATATTTTGCAAAGAAAAAGGGAAAAATATTTATAAAATTTTAGATGGATTTAAATGTCATCTATTTCATTTTAGCCACTGTATTTTATGCAGCAATTCATTATTCTCCTCTCTACAAATAAGACAAGTTTTTCCTTGCAGTGAGGCTGAAGCACATGAATCCAATGTTCTAATGCATAAACTGCTATCCTTTCTTTACCTATTTCAGGCAAGCAGAAAAAGGAATTATTAAATCCTTGTTTAATACTAAGAATGTAAAGCAGCAACAGTTTACTTAATCCACAAATAAACAGCTGTTCTGTATTTGTGCACAACAGCATTTTTACAATATTATATATAGGGAATTTTACAAACATGACTGAGTCTTCCTCTACCAGAGGAAGGCTGTGCTCATTTTAGACTAACATACGTCCATGCCTGACTTCAAATTTGAAATCATGTATCTTTTACAGGAAAAAAAAAAAAAAATTAAATCCCAAACTTCTTAGATCTGAGCTAAACCCTTTAGTTCTTCATATTACAAATCCTTTCACCGAGTCACGTACTTCTTAATCTTTTTAATTCTTCAGTAAACTCATTTGAACTACAGCTACAGTGCTAAGTATACTCATTTGAACTACAGCTGAGTGCTCATTCCAGTGCTGGATATAATCCTCCCCACCATTCAGGCAGTTGGCACATGCTGCACACAGTCCTTCACCTTTCAAATTACCCCTCTGAGACGGAAATTATCCCATCTTTTACAGAACATCACACATTTTGCAAAGTGAATGACTGCAGAGTATTCACATTTAGCATACATGTCCAGTCTTTTTTTGAACGCCAATTTCAGCTTCCTCCACTGAAGTCCACATCTTGCTCTTTCTCTCCTGTGTAGTCCCTTGTATTTGTGGACCCAATCCTTTTATCTTTGTTGTATCAAAAGACTAGCAACAGTAGCTGCTTGGTACAGCAAAGTACAAATGGATTAATTGTTTTCAACCACAATTAACAATTAACCTGCTATAAAAATGCTGAAAAATTCCAGGATAAACTGAAAATTTCCCATTCCCCTCCCTAGTTACTCACAGGAGGTCCTGGTGGTCCTGGTTTTCCTGGGGGGCCTGGTTTTCCACGTCTTCCCTGGAAACAAAAAAGAACAACAGACACTTATAAATGCCATAACTAATGATCGATTTGGAATAAGAATTCTGTCTAAGAAAAGATATATTGCCTTGCTTATTTGTAAAAAATTCAAAACCTATCCAAAATGAACACTCTGTATCAGTCACTTCAAATACTTTTAGGATTGTTTATAATAATAATTATGACAAACTATATTTGCATCATTGAAACATTTACTGTGACATTTTAAAACTATGTCTCAAATGTGAGTGCACAGTGATAGGGCTATAAACAGAGCATCTTGATGATGTGCAAAGAAATTACATTTTATCTGAATACACCACAGTTTGGGATGTTAAACTGTGCTGCAGTAGTCACCCTGACTTGCACAGTAAATGCATATGCGCAATATAACCCACTTAAGGAACACCTTCACCAGGATATAACAAGGAGAAAAGTCAGAGATTTATTTGCAAAACCAATTCACCTTCTTCATGCAATTACTACCATCTGTGTATATAATGCACATGTAAAATCGTTTGCATTAAAAATTAAGGTCCATAAAAGTCTACTTAAGTTAATGGAAAATTTTCCACTTAGATTCTAAAAATCATGCACATGTAACTATTAAAAATTTTTAGTACAGAGCTTGACTGAACAACTGCTGTTTTCACATAACGCTTTTTTTTTAGCAAGATCAACATAAAAAATGGAAGTAATTTACTGTAATTTACATCTTTATTGCCAAACTGAAATCTGATGCACATTTTTTAGAAACAACAGCTGAGAACAACTAATATCTAGGTGAGATGGTGAAAAAAATAATTTACATATGGCAAATGTAAATTAACAAAAAGCATTACAGGGATGTCCTGGTGAAAACTTGGCTTAAGAAGTTAAAAAATGAAAATGCTTGCTGACAGCTCACAATTAGCACATAGGGGTATTTCTGTAAGCTATGGTCCCTCCTGCTAAGCCTCCTTCTGTGTTTTATTAAATGGCAATCTCAGACAAACTAAGGAAGTAATCTAAGGAACAGAAAGTGAAATCTCAGATTCCCTCTTTACAGGTGAGAGCCTTGATCTATAGGAAATCAACACTCAATCACTCTAATGCTCTGCCTTTCATTAATCTTCACCTATGCTGAGGGGAAACAAGACGATGACAGTAAGGGTAGAAAATCCCTCTTCCTCCCTCCTGTAGCTCACCAGGGCAGTGAGCTTGCAGAGACATTTACATGTCTTGCATAGACACTAGGAACTCTCCTGAGAAGCAGGACTTTGAGCCCTTCAAGTTGAAGAACCGAACAGGGGTCGTGGGGATGTGTTTCATTCACTAGGCTGTGCCACATAAAATCTACACTGCCACTGTGGTTGTACGAAAGTCCTCAGTCAGTCAGTGTGTTTTAAGGGCAGTGTGAAAAAAAATGCACTACCTCAGCATATTTGGAGTGACAAATTCCTGGGTCTTAACTAGCTGAGACATACGTTATGTGCTGAGCTGGTTAATCCCACCAGTACTCGCACATGCAGGGCTGTAACTAGGGCAGCTTAGGGCAAATTTTCAGAACCAACATGTGGTCCTAGGTGCCCCACTGGGCTCAAGGCTGTACTGCTACTTACTACCCAGCCCCAGCATGTCCTCTGCTGTGTTGGTAACACTGTCCACACAGCCCTGTGATGAGCCTGAGATGGGAACCCATCCGGGGTAAGGACAGCCCACAAAAACAGCTGTTTCTGACTTTGATCAGCTCATTGATGCAGTTCACTGGGCAAGCAAGTAGACTGACAGAGGGCACAGTACTGGAAAAGGCACACATGCATGATAAAAAGGGGCTATTAGCTAGATCCAGACTTTGGACTGATCTTTACTTCAGAAATACAGATGGAAACTAGTATTTCCTGGCTTTTTTGAAAACCAGTGCCCTTTACTTAGTATGAAAAATGGATCAAGAAGTAATGATGTAAGTAGTAAACAAATGTAAATTGTTTCATACTTTTAAAATAGCCCCTCTGAGTTATAATGATCTACACTGTTGACTTCTTGAAGCACCTTCCTTTTCCTGTTTGGACTTATTTAAAGTATACTGAGGATGACCCTTAAAATCTCAGCAGTCTAAACAAAGTATCAAGGAAGTGTCAGAAGGAAGAAGGCAGAGCTTTGACTGGCAGACACAACTGTGAACGAGGTGTTAATTACACAGGAAAACATGAAATACGCTGGGAAGGCAATTTTATCTCTATTTACAAGATGAGCTAAAATGTGATTTATAACATGTTACAAAGCCAAAACTTCACAAACTTTCTGAGAAGTCAGTTAAAAAAATAAAATAATCAGGGTAGTTATTTTTCACTGTCATTCATGAACTACCAGAACACCTACCAGGTGAAACACAGAAGAAACACTTGCCTACCTTTTACGCAATGATTGTATTATTAGTCATTACACTATGTGTCATGTGTAAAGAAAACCTGTAGAACAATCACACAGATTGGCGTGAAGCACCAGCTTCAGTTCAGGAATGACAGTCCTCTTTTTTTCCTACAAAGACCTTTCTGAACTGATATTTTAATTTTAAGACAGAAATACGTAAAAGGCCACTACCTTTCAGCAATGCCTTTCAGATAGAGATTTAAATGTTTGGGATACACACAGCTCAACCTACTTGCCAGCACTCATGCTTCCTATGACTTCCTAGCATCAGTATGGAAAAAATTAAAATATATACTATAGTAAGAGCATAAGTAAAGTAGTTTATGTTTTTGTTTAGGATAATTAAAACAATTATAAGGATATTTTTGATAAGCCCATTTTGGCATTACCTTGAGCAGACCATTGTCCGGACTGTGATTAATATTTAGTTTGATTCTGAGCCTTCCTTCTGGCAAGAAAGAAGTGAAAATATCTTGGTGTCTTCTCTGATTCATAAAGTAGGCTTAGCAGAGAGCCACAGTTCCCATCTCCTTCTCAGAAGCAGGTCTTAGCAGCCCCACAAGAGCTGTGCTCACTGTCCTACAGCTGTCTCTGGGGAGGCAGCTGGCACAGGAGGCCCATTACCTTTATTTAGTTGAGTTCACTGAGCAAATATTGAGGCTATTAAACCACTTCTAGGCATTACATACCTCTTTTAAATAAATAAAAAATTGCAATACCATTTTCACTAACTTAGACAGTTGGTGTCAATAAGTTGTCTAATGACAGAATAATAAACAAAGGAAACCAAAACAGTTGCTGGTTATTTCCTTTATGGTGAATACATTTTTTTTTGTTTTCATAATGTGATAAGAAGTTGTCTAAATGTTACTAATATTGACCCTCAACTTATGGAATGTATGCCCTTAAAAATTTGGGCAGTCAGCTATTTTCTTCTTCTCCATAGGTCAAACTTCACACAATACAAACACAAATGACTCCACAAATGCTAGGTTAGGGGCAGAAAGGACAAAATATTAAAAATAAATAAGATTATATGCTTCAGCAAACCCCAGCTGAGTGACTAGCTGAAGTGCATGGTCAACTGCACTCTTTGTTACTCCCTTTCTTTACTCTTTCTGTTAATTAAAATCGCTTGATGAGCTTTGCTTTACATCAGATTGAAAACTGTTCAGAAGAAAGGCTCTGTGCATCCTTCCATAAGCTTGTGCTCTGAATCTGGCTGCTGCTCCTGGGCACTGCTGCAGGTCCAAAACACAATGCAAGAATTCAGTCTACATTGTAACCCCCTGCTGTATCACATTGCATCCCTATATTCACATATCTCTAAATATAGAAGAGTAAAATGGCTAATCCCAATGTCTAAAAATAAGATCTGGATTATTTTAGGATAAAAGTCAAGCAGAGCTGTGTAGGGATGCTGACCTGATTTATGGAATTAATAATTTAAAGAACACACACTTGAATATGAAGGGAAAAATTCTTAGAATAAGCCTGTGTGAATTTTCAAGGGAAACTGCTAATTAACTGCTCCTCAATCACATCATCGCATTTCAAAACAGGAACTAGTTCTAGAGGAAGTAGGAAGTTCGGCATTAAAATCTTAACTACTGTAGTTATTATGCAAGATTAATGAGGCTTATGTAACTCCTTTGCCAAGCTAAACTAAGATTCTCTTGAATAACTCTCAAAAGCAAACTGACAAAGGGACAGATACACCTGAAGAAGGCAGGTGGAAAGTAAAGATCACCATTTTACAGGGCCCAACTCACAAACACCAGCCTCTTGGGCACCTAAACACTACGCAAGTGGAGCTTTGGGCAGTTAAAAGACTTTCTCCAGATGACTAAAGGTGACACCAAGCAGTCAGACAAGTCCCAGTATCTATGCTAATTCAGAGTACAGAAAAAAGGTTTTCCTTTGTCTCAGTCCTCCAAGCTGATATGCCTAGTTAAAATAAACTTCCAGTTTTCCTTCTCTGTCTGCAGTCACAACCCAGTGGTTGTGACTGGCAGGTCACCTGGGGCTTGCAGAGCTCCAACCATCTCTAACGCAGAGGAAACCGAGCCCAAAGCTGGTGACAGTCCTCTGCTTCGTGTTTTACCAGAAAAACCTTGCCAGACTGCCACTTTAGGGGAGTGAAGGCAGACACCACATGATGCTATCATTCTGTTCAGTTTTGAATAGTCAGTTTAGTTTTGAATAGTCAGTTCAAAAGCTATCCAGAAGCTGAAGATTATAATTAATCACAAAAATCAGAGGAATCACCCATCTAACCCAGTTACTCAACAGGGTACATGTACTGATTTGTTGCAGGATAGGAGAAAGTTATCCAGGATCCCAATCAACTCTTTCATAGGTCACAAAGCAAAAATTTCAAATCTACAACAAATGTGCAGCATGAATACAAAATCATTATTTTCTGTCATGTATTTAGTAAAAAACTTGGCAATTTTTAAAGAGAACTTTGAAATTTAAGCACCTGACTGTACAACTGCTGTTAACAATAATGTTGTCATTAACTTTGGTAGTGTCACAATTGCAAAAGTTTGGGTTTTTTAATCCTTAGAAATTCTATAGTTTTA